TTTTACTACTTGGCTTTCGGTCCCACATTCGTAATGTAGCCACTTTCTGACAAGTTAACTCGCACGTTCAGAAATGGAAGCCAGTTTTTTTTTGTTTTTTCTCTGGTGAATTTAATATACTCTGACTGTTCGCTCAACAACTCGAAACATCTGTCAATTTCCTCTTGTGTTGAACAAATGACCAAGCAGTCGTCTATATATTTACAGTAGAGTAACGGTCGAGATCGGTCACTGGTGCTTCCACCTTAGACATAAAGGCAATGGCAAGGCTGCATAATATTCCCAGACTGGTATGTGATCCAGCATCTGGATAGAAATTTGGTTTATAAACCAAGATATTCTATCGGTGGGCCTCTCTACACAACTGATGATGGATCTAACCTTGAAGCTTGAAGGGTCAGTAGACGCCAGATCATCAGAGGATACTAGCTTAAGAGTTTTGATAAGCAGGTATAAGACGGAACATGTTAGTAATTCATTTCCTCTATCTCTAACGAAATAAGTGCAGCTACAAAACGTTGCTTAAGGAGGGCCGGTTTGGAAAATCCGGTAACAGTGATAAAAGTACAACTGGACACTCAAAGAAGCCAGTTGGCTCGTAACCGTCTATATGACCGTTAACGTCAGCAAAAAATTGCATTGTGTCTGCCCTAATGATAGAGATGGTGATTGCGTGAGTTCGCGTACGGTGTACCTAATCTGTTTTAAAGCATACAGGGATGAATACGTTGGCGAAAGGGATGGATCCGCTTGAAGGAACGCCTAGTCGGTAAATATAAATTGAAACCGAACATTCAACTAGACGAGCGTATGACACAGATACATAAAGGAAAAGATTTTAAAAAGTTACTTTCCTCGCACAGGAATCGAAAACATTACCATGTAAAACTCTTGAAGCATTTTGGATTAATTTCAAAAATCTAGAAATGAACCCCAAAAAAGAGTGCCTTGTGATCACGCGTGACCCCACGCCATATCTCTGGCTGATTCTGTGACTTGACCCAGACACGTTTCTCACCCATCTAGGACTCTGTGCGGCTGCAAAAGCGGTGTGTGTTTCACGGAGACTGTTCATTATACCAATGAGAATTTATGTAATAAGTCTTATCTGCTAATATTATGAAAGTGTTTGACTGAGTAGACTGTATGTCAACTTGAGCTTTCCAGGTTCTTAAGAAGGCGAAGCCGCCGAAACGTCAGCTATTGTGAACTAATAAGTGCTACAATGCCAACCACGTGTTTGCTCATTGAAGAAAAATGGTGAATTATTGATCAGTGCCGAGGTTAATAGAAAGTCGGTCTTAAGATTTGCTTATAGTATTAAACACGTATTATAGCCGCTTGTGTAGCTTCATCATGACAAAGAGACACTGTAGATGTGCGATGAAGTGAGCACTACGAGACCGGTAATCATCATTCCGTAACTACTGATCTCAGCAGCCTACAATATAACTCTCCTAAGGCTTCAGGAGTCTAGGTCTTCCTTATTAAATCTTATTGATATCGTCCTTGTTAATAAAAACCTGATGGCTTCTTTTCTTTGATGTGTAGTTTAGTGCTCTGATCGATGTTATCCTAGGCACAACAAGCTGCAGCTCTTCATGTAGCAGCCACTAAAGTAGCAATGACTCACGAGCCGGATCAAAACAGGGTTCTGATGATCTTGTCGCTTGCTTTTTTTAAGCCTTTTCACTTTTCTCTTCTTTTCTCTTTTCCTTTTCTTCTTTCGTCTCTAGTTTTTTCGCTCAAAATGTTCTACATGGTGAGATAAGGATAAAAGGATAAAAGCCCTCGGTGTTGATCAATCCCTGAGAGATGCGCCATACATTCGACTTCATTACGCATCGTTTGGTGGTGATTGAATGCATGTTTGGCCTTTACAATGATTCGGGGTGGNAAGCTGCAGCTCTTCATGTAGCAGCCACTAAAGTAGCAATGACTCACGAGCCGGATCAAAACAGGGTTCTGATGATCTTGTCGCTTGCTTTTTTTGTCTTTTCACTTTTCTCTTCTTTTCTCTTTTCCTTTTTTTTTTCGTCTCTAGTTTTTTCGCTCAAAATGTTCTACATGGTGAGATAAGGATAAAAGGATAAAGCCCTCGGTGTTGATCAATCCCTGAGAGATGCGCCATACATTCGACTTCATTACGCATCGTTTGGTGGTGATTGAATGCATGTTTGGCCTTTACAATGATTCGGGGTGGTCTACCGATGTATCGAGCCAGTGCAGCTATCCTCCCAGACAAGTCTGGTACCAATTTGCCGACCTCGGAGGGATGGAACGCTTGAAGAGCCATGGGCTCGGTGATTGATTGGTTCCACGTGTGTGTTGCAGTGCACCTCCGACCACTGCGCCACACGCACCCTTGTGCAAGTAATATTTGACAGAAATATTATCATATTTATAGCAATACGCTTTGATTCCAACACATGCATTGATCGGTGATATCTTATCCTTCCATCCTCCGACAGGAATAAATCTCAACTCGTAATGAACTTTATTTCGTTTATTTAATCAAAAACGCTAGAATTTAGACATTATTGATACTGCGATGTAGCCTTTATTACTCTGCCACAAGTTCTCAATTTATGGGGCCCACAAAATATAATTTCTTTTTTACACTGTGGAAGTCGACTCGGATCATCGGCTTTGAAGAAGACGAAGACGTCGAGACGTTTGCCGAATAAAGCTCTTTATCAGCTTCGCGTTAGCTTATCAATGGAAGAATAGATGCTTATTAGTCATACGAGCTTAAAGAAAAGCCGGTTTGTGGAACGCAATTTTTTCCCGTTTTTCAAACCGACGGTCATCTGACTTCGGTATTAATACCTTCTTGGATTCTTAAACTAACACGAGGTTGGTAAAAAAAAAGTTTATTCGGCTAACGATTCGATCTCTTCGTCTTCGTGGGAGCCGATGATCCTAGTCGATTGTCCACAGTTGATGGTCCTTGCACGTTTCTTTGCTTTTTTTATTTTGGAGACTCATATTTCGTACACCAAGTCAAAATGAACGTGCAAAATTTCATCTCCAACGAAACGCAGTGTGGTTCGACAGTGAATTGTTAACGCTTGACCTTGTTGTGCTTGAGTTAGAAGGTATAGAAATTCCATTTCTCTATTAGCTGTTTCGAACATTCTGATTTAAAAACCAAATATTTTTCGAACAAAGTTGTGTGTATACTCACAGCGATAGCGAAGGGTAGTCCTTTCCAAAATTCTGTGAACTCCCCTCAACTCTTTAAGTGCTTCCCCTCACCAGGAAATTGTCGGCGATTGTAGAAATCGTCGCGAATGTGTTAAGCAAAGTTGGCTACATCTTTTGTTCTCTTTCCTTCATTCTTCCTTCTTCTCTCTTTCTCCTGTCTCCTTCTTTCCGTTTTTCTCTCTCCTCTCTGCTTTTGCCTCTCTGCTTTTGCCTCTCTCTCTGTCTCATTCATTCTTTCAGATGTTTTTTTTTTACAATACACTTAATTTGTTTCTTAAGGGAGAAGACTATGCTCGACAAATGGAAGAGGAAATGCGGAAGAAAGCTGAAGCAGTACGTTTCATCATCACATCACAAAAATTTTGCCTAATGAAAGGTTACAAAAGAACATGACCTTTATAGAGGCACTATACCGTTTTGATAGTCTTCTAATGATTTAGGCCAAAGGAGAAAAGTTCTAATTTTTGCTGTATACTAATTGTCAATGTCCCGCAAAACAATTCTATAATTTAGAAAAAATCCATGATTTCATAAAATGGTGAAGGATAACATTCGATGTTAGCCTTTCCTTAAGAGAAGAGCCGTTCATTCGACTCCATTCATAGCAGCGCAGAACTGTTCGAATACAGAGTTGATCCGTGCAACAACTTTCGAGGGATACAGATTTGCTAACTCAGTGTTTTCAACTCTGGTACCCAATTTGCAAACCCTTGGACGGTTTGGTTAGCCTGGGTGGAATCGAACCTACAACACGACCTCGTGTCTATAAGAGTCCGCCTGTAACCATTGTGCTACTCGTGTCACGATTCATATGATGCTAGAATCTGTTAAGTAGAAGATTGTATATACGGCTGTAGAAGTTCGCTGAATTTGTTTCACGAAGGTTCCTCACAATGAAACCTTTCGTTTATTACTTCAGATTATGAGAAGTGGAGTCTATTGGCGGAATTTCTCTTCATCAGTTTGTCCATTTAATAATGTTATAATGCTTTTTCCGATTACTTCGTTCACTAATGGACAGACTTTCTTCTGTTTCTTTTGGACCATCTTTCAGCTCATACTTCAACCTTTTTAATTCGTAAAAATATATCCGTATAGAAATGACGAAACTGCAGTAGATTGCTTATTGATCAGTTTTTAATATTTTTTCATATTTTTATTTTATTTAATTATTTTTATTTTATTATTTTATAAATTTTTTTTCGTAAAATCTGGATATTTCACGAAAAATGATGGCAGATAATGCATATTGTAGGGCCAATAGTAGAAGTTTTCTAAACTCTTTTCAACATTCTTCTAAGCTTCAGAGAACCTTTAAATACATTTTATTGGAACAATTTATTATTAGAAGGGCACGTGTGACACAGTGGTCGGGGGCGTTGCAAATCACGCTTGGAATCGATCTCCACGCCTATGNAGTAGATTGCTTATTGATCAGTTTTTAATATTTTTTCATATTTTTATTTTATTTAATTATTTTTATTTTATTATTTTATAAATTTTTCTTTCGTAAAATCTGGATATTTTACGAAAAATGATGGCAGATAATGCATATTGTAGGGCCAATACTATGTAGAAGTTTTCTAAACTCTTTTCAACATTCTTCTAAGCTTCAGAGAACCTTTAAATACGTTTTATTGGAACAATTTATTATTAGAAGGGCACGTGTGACACAGTGGTCGGGGGCGTTGCAAATCACGCTTGGAATCGATCTCCACGCCTATGGCCCACAAAGCCTTCCATCCCTCCTGGGTCGGCAAATTGGTACCAGACTGGTTTGGGAAGATAGCAGCACTGGACCAATACATCGGTAGGCCACCGCAAGTCATTGTAAAGGCCAGATATGCCTTTAGTCACCTCTAAACGATGCTCATTGATGTTGAATGCTTGGTGCATCCCTCAGGAATTGATCAACGCTGAGAGCTTTACCCTTTTTATTCTTTATAACAAAAGTGAAAAGCTGAAGTGAGGAATATTTTTACATATATTCGCTCATCTAGTATGTGTCTAGAGATTATATACGAAGTACTTTGCTCCATAATACTACTCCATAATACTTTACTTTGTATACTAATATTGTTTTATACCGGTAACTGACAACTGCAGAAGAAATTATAGGTGATTTCAGGCACGAGCACAAGCTGAAGCAGAGCGAAAGATGGCTGAAGAACGACATGCTCAAGCAAAAGCACAACAAGAGGCAGCCCTGAGAGCTATGCAAGAACAAGTGAAAAAAGCACAAGAAGAAGCGCTTCAGAAAGCCCGAGAAGCTAAAGCTAAAGCTGAAGCTGAAGCGAAAGCGAAAGCCGCTCAAACAATAGCCCAGGCAGAAGCCCAAGCTCGTGCTCAGATGGAAGCTCAAGCCAAAGCTAAAGCGCAAGGTGAAGCAGCGGCTAAGAAATCGCAGCAAGAAGCTTTAGAAAAAGCGCAAAAGGCAAAACTGGAGGCAGAACAAAAGGCCAAGCTGCAGCAACAACAACAACAACGACAACAGCAAACACCAGCTGCACAGGCGCCAAATAGACCCGCTGGAGTACCCCCTACTACTGCTGTTTCCCCAAAACCCGCGATTGGCACTCCCAACCAAGCTGCACCTAACGTGCCGAGAAAGACAGTGCCTCAGGTTCCAGCAAAGCCGGCACAACAGGTGCCAGCAAAGGCTGCTCCTGTTGGACCACCGACTGGAATAAGATCTAAACCAGATGCGGTGACCATCGACCAGAACGGTAATTTTTGGACGACTTTCAGCTTCCAGTTTAAAATTCGCAACATTTTTGGGTTTAGTTTACTTGCTTCTGCTTATTATCGAATTTGATTTTATCTTATGAAGATCCTAACAGAAACATTGGCGATAACTCCAGATTTTCGGTCACCCACACTATAAACCATACCTGACTCACGCTGGCCACGTTGCCTCGAAGTCACATACGATTGGTGTAGTTGCCAATGTTTTGACAGGATTGATTGGTCGAAATAGCAGCTCATTAATGAAGGTCCACGTGATTAAAGCGATACATTGTTTACAACCATTTTCTAATTTTGCACGAATCACAAATTTATTCACCATGTAAACTGATTTAGATATAATTCAGAACCAAAAAAACCTGCATATCGCACGCCTGGAAAGGTGGTGAATCCGATGAATCCGATGCCTGAGCCGAAACAGACACAACCACGGCCACTGGAGCCGATATCAACGAACACGCCGACGTTGCGAAATACTGCTAAGGTATGTGAAGTGTAAACCTGAGGGATTGCGTTTTTTCGACGTTTTCTTTTCGCAGTACAATCACATTTATTTCGGACGCCATAGCGTAGTCTTTTAGACCATCTGGTAAGAAAAACACACTGGTTTTTGCGCCATTACTTGCGAACCAAGCCAAGGAATCCCATTGATTCTAGAATTTTATACGGATTTAAGCACAATAGTGACCGTTAACGTGGGAATCAGCCAAAATCGTTAACATCGCCTGTTCTTTTGCTATCTATTCACTTATTCATACTATCCAGCACCAAACTTTATGCGATCCTAGAAGTTCCTTCATTTGGTTCGCTGTCTCGAATCCATCATCCACAAAGGTCATTGGATTTACATGGGGTGCTTGCTGCCACATTATGACATCAAGCGATGGTAGAGTTGATTCTCTCTGTGATCCTGGGACAGCCTTAACAATGTCCTTTGTAGATCCTACCCACAGCCAGTCGCCGCCCTATGTGGGTCGTAGAGAGTGAGTCGATTCCAGAAAATTCTAGTCCCAATTTGCCTAAATCGTGTATATGAGAACTCGTTGGATCGATGTGAACCTGAACCAGCGACTATGGCCGAGCTACGCGGCATGTCTGATCACTGCGCTTCTCGTTCTCCATATTAGTACTATTACATAAGACTAAAGAAAAAAAAACTGCTCACTTTGCTCCTGTACATTAGATGAGAACAGAAAGAAACATATGGTAGTAAGATATAAAGAGTATTTTCTATGAGATAGAGAGAAGTCACTTCAGGGATCAGGGAAGAACACTTCAATGAAACGATGTTTTTTTGGCCAGAACGTATGAATAGTTCGAAGCGTGTTTATTTTTATTCATTATTCATTTGTTTATTTATCCGTCTTTGAAAACTTTGTTAGATAAGTCTTAAAATATTAGAAAAGGGAATTTTTTGATATTTTTATAACTGCAGATGCAAGAAGAAGCATTAACCAAGGAAACAACTCGACCAACGAAAGGCGTCCATGCCGAAAAGCCTGGCATTCGACAAGACAACGTTCGTGAGCGTTTCGTCGAAAAGAACGAACCTGTCATCGAAACGAAACAGGTATGGTAACATCTTTTAAAAACTCTTTACTAGTTTTTTCTGTTCAACTTTCGTCTTTTTTTTCCTGATATTTCGAAAATTCTACGGTTATAGGCTGTTTCCCACTGCCCTTATATCTAATTGCTTCGACTTCGATGTTTTTCGGAATTTGAACGAGTTTCTGGCGTTCATTGCGTATGTATAATGACTTTGGAAAGTAACTCCCAAGTCTGACTTTCTATTAACCTCGGCATTGATTGAATATATCTTTCTACTTCTGTTCAGCAAGCACGAGGTGCTATTTTATTTCTTTATTTACGCACAAGCTGACGTTTCGGCGGATTTCGCCTTCCTCAGAGCCTGGAAGGGTCAAGTTGACAGCAATCCACTCGGCCAAACACCTCCATAACCAAACAGAGAAAACGCCTAACCAAGATTTCAATCACATTTAGCATAGCTCTGCACACTCACCGCTTTCTATGAGTCTTCCACTGAGTACTTCCACTTCCAGTGCACACGCGGCATACTCAGTGGAAGACTCATAGAAAGCGGCTCTGAGGAAGGCGAAATCCGCCGAAACGTCAGCTTGTGCGTAAATAAGGAAATAAAATAGCACCTCGTACTTTGGAAAGTGTTTCTGGACTCTAATAATTCTTTTTTTTGCTTCTTAAAGAGCAATTGTATGAGGGCAGAAATGGACAATATACTTCATATAAATGCGGAATGCTGAATTTCTACCATTTTGGCCGGTGCGGGATCGGACCAGCGATGTTGCATGTTTTATTAAACGGCATATCTAACTACTGCTCTTCTTCACATGCTCCTGGTGAATGTCACTGCTAAGTGAGAAGGAAGGAAATAAAACATCACTATTAGGAAGAAGACTACGTACACATAACGTCCTCATTATTGAGCTCAACAAGACGACGCAGCTGTTTTGTGTGTTAAATACTTCAAAAATAATTCGATAGACCGACTTTCGATTAACCTCGGCACTGATTTACCCAAATTATCTTACAAACTTCATTTTCTTCAGAACATAGACGTATTTTTTTAATAGCCGCATCCCTTTCCATATATTTGTACGTATTGCATGTTCATTATATTATTATAAGGGGTGGATAGCACAGTGGTAGTGATGTCCGTCATCACGAGCATGGTGTTGGTTTGATTCCACTCCGGGCCAACTAAGCCTCTCATCACTCCGGGGCGGGAAATTGCTACCGGCCGTGTCCGCAAAGAATCACTCTCTGCAATCCAGTTGGGGACGCTTCAGTCCGGCTATCTCAGGAATCTCGGGAGAATTGCTCGATCATCATTTTACAACATTTATGGTGAAATGAATCCTCAGGCAGCAACCAAAGCCACATGTAAAAGTTGGAAGGCTTTTGTGAATCATGGATGTGAGGAAACGAATGTGAGAAGTGCCGTGATCCACACAATCGACGTGAGGGTTGGTCATATTAAACAAAAGATATAAAAAATATATCATTATAAATAGGAAATGTATATGTAAAATTATTATGAATATCAAATTATTACCGTAAACATTATTACAACAAATATATAATTTAAAACTAGTAAATACATGGTGTATTATATTCCTGTGTTGTTTTTTCATATTATCCATATATTTTATTATAAAATATTTGTTGCGCATTGTTACATATTACTTATTTATTTGTTTATTTATATTTATGTATTTATATTTATAGAGTGCATTTCACAACGAGCTCGTTTTCTCGTATTTAAAGTCTGAAAAATCACTTGCAAGCCCATATGATGAGTAGCTTTATGTTAAAGTAAAGGTTTTCAATATTTATTACGCTAATTTAATAATCGAGCTCTATGGTAAGGTGTGTGGCGCGTGTGCCACAGTCGTCGGAGGCGCCGTGCAGCACACACGTGGAATCGATCCCCGCGCCCCTGGCCCACCAAGCCTTCCGTCCCTCCGGGGTCGACAAATTGGTACCAGATTAGTCTGAGAGGATAGCAGCATTGGCTCGATACATCGGTAGGACACCGCGAGTCATTGTAAAGGCCAGAAATGCATCCAATCACCTCCAAACAATGCGCATTGTAGTCGAATGCATGGCGTATCCCTTAAGAATTAGTCAACACCGAAGGCTTTATACTTTTTTCTTATCGTTTTGTAGTGAGGAGGACTTAGATGAAATTCCGTTACTGCTTTCGTACCTTGGAAAATTTAAGAATGCTGTTGTTTGAGATAATCTTTCTCCTGTCATAATCTCTAAACTTAATAACCTTGTTAGGATAACATGTTATTTAATAGTTGAGATAACTTAAGATGGGAAGATTAGACCACCTTGAGTTTTCTCAAGAAAATACGCTCAAAGCACTACACGCATAATTATTGATTGGTAATAGGCAAGAATAAGAGAATTAACGAACTCACGTTCATTAGGAAGCCTTGATTAACATATGTGTTCAATGATATTAAATCGACCTTCGTTCTAATCTAAAACTTATGCTTGATATTGTTCCAACCATCTGAGACTAGTGGTGAGAACAAGTTAGAATCGTAATGAAATAATGAAAATCGTATAATAGTGACCGTTTAGGTGTCAATTTTTATTGTGCACATTTTGAGGAGTAAGAGATGGTGTTTCTCAGAAATTGCTTTAAGCAAGGATCGAATGAAGTCGAGGAAGACACAAGTTCAGATCGATGACGTACTTACTAATCGCAAACATATGGACGGCTCGTCGCTAGCTAGGTCGTCGGGTAATTACTCCAGGGTTCACCAGCCAGGTCTTCATTGGTCATTGTAACATGCCGGAGATGATTGTGTTCTGCTTGTTAGAGGAATAAAGAAAACAAGGACCATCATGTCTTCATTATAGGATCTTCCTGAAGAGGTTTAAGCATTAGATCGGTGATCTTCTTTCTGTGATCTTGATATTCTGTGGAACTTCGTCATCAAGGATTGTAGATGTTATTAAGGTGCACCATATTTTTGGCCCGCCTAATTTGTCTCGTATAACACCTTCCCCATTGGGTCTTTCTTAACTGTCATCTATGATTCCGATCTTTGATTGCCGATGTAAGTTGGAACTTTGGGCTCCTTCTCTCACTAGCGTAACACGATATACTTCTGGAATCATCTTCGATAGAGCTGTTAGCACTTCGTTCTTAATTTCACAGATTCCAGGTTTCAGAGGTGAGTTTTTGAACAGAAAGAATCGTACAGCCTACGTTTTACGAGCAGAGGAAGGTATTTTTTTATTCTTCTTCATTAGACTCATCCTTCGACAGCTGTAAGCTACCCTGGTCGCCTGCCCGTTTCTTCTTACTTCTTATGAGCAATGGAGTTTTTGTTAGAGAAAAAAGGTGATATTAATACTTAGTTCAACTAAGGCAATAGAATCAACTTGGCGTAAGTGATTTAGCTGCCAATCATCGATATTCGTTCCATTTTATCCGGTTCCAGTTCTCGGCATCACATTCTTGAGCACTGGATAATTATGGAGCAAGTTAATGACAGCAACTGAAAGAGTTTCTCTATTGCAATAATNTCGTTCTTAATTTCACAGATTCCAGGTTTCAGAGGTGAGTTTTTGAACAGAAAGAATCGTACAGCCTACGTTTTACGAGCAGAGGAAGGTATTTTTTATTCTTCTTCATTAGACTCATCCTTCGACAGCTGTAAGCTACCCTGGTCGCCCGCCCGTTTCTTCTTACTTCTTATGAGCAATGGAGTTTTTGCTAGAGAAAAAAGGTGATATTAATACTTAGTTCAACTAAGGCAATAGAATCAACTTGGCGTAAGTGATTTAGCTGCCAATCATCGATATTCGTTTCCATTTTATCCGGTTCCAGTTCTCGGCATCACATTCTTGAGCACTGGATAATTATGGAGCGAGTTAATGACAGCAACTGAAAGAGTTTCTCTATTGCAATAATTTGATAACTGGAGTCGAGTAATAGAATATAATTGATACGTTCGACTTTGTTGCATATTCTCTTGTGATTCGGTCCCAGCTAGATATCTTTAGTCAAACCCATTCTCTTGCAACGACAATAAAAACAGTATTGTGTAATAGTGTGTATGACTTGTTTTCCTCCTACCTAAAAGTATCGTTAAACTGAGAAAGGAAATTTGCTGTTTGTAATCTGTCGTGTGTCACGAAATCTTCGGAGTACTTTACTGTTCTGTGCTTATAGTGTTACACAAACTTGGTATTAAACTTCGTTCGACTAACGTTTTGTCGTCTTCGTCTTCCATCATAGGGTCGAACTCGAGGAAGTGGAACATCGCAAGAATGACAAATTTTTATTCTGAGGAACCGTTTCATACAGGACTCGTTGGTACTACGGAGGACCCATATCACGACAACGAGCAGCTGTTGACTATCGGCTCCAATCATTCTGGCTTTGCACAAGGCGACTGCGCTCGAGCATCAGCCGAATAAAGTTTTATAACAGCCTCGTGTAGGCCTGCAAATATAGAAAAGTGTTGGACAGTCATACCGAGTTTAAATAAAAGTCGGTTTTGAAAGTCTTGGAGCTTAGAAAAAATAGAAATAAATATGATTAAATAACTAGCAGGCGAAACGGAGGACTCGCATGGTGTAGTGATGAACGCGTTAACCCTTTGAAAAGGTAACGCGTTTGTTTTTCACCGCAGGCACCTGCGGTCCGGAGTTATGCAACAAATATTTCAGCGTCATCTTGGGGTAGTTTTAACATTTTTACAATTTAAAAGTAACCTGTCCTGAATGCCTCCTTTAAGACAATGATCACTGTTGCCAGCATTTCTCTCGAATGATGGTAGTGGTCTCTTATAGTGAGATGACGGAGAACCTTGTTCATTCTTCTCGTTTTAAATGATCTCGCTATCGCAAATCCTTTAGGAATCAGAATAAAAGATTGAGAGGATGTTTCTTCTAAGACCAGTATTCGTATGCCCATTCCCATCTATGTGGTCGAACCTTATTCTTTCTTTTACAAATCTTGTGCATGTAAAATACTCTGTTCTATCGTAGTCATCACAATGTCTTTAGTTTTACTTTCAGGTCTTAGCCATAGGATAGCTTGTCGATGAACCAACTTATCGTGATGGGCTCTTCCGTGGTAAAGATGGTGCAGTTGCAGACGATCTTAGACCTTCCTCAACTACTTCCTTGTTATCTAGCTCCAGGATTTGGCTAAATTTATGACCAAAAAAATTCATACACTTGAACGAACCACTTGCGTAACGCGTATGTATACATAGCTGCATTCACAGCAAGAGAGAGGGTGTCCGTCAAATGCAGACATTTGCTTCCTAGCGAAACTGTTCCATTAAATGGTCGTTATGTTTATCCGCCACCTAGAAGCGTCTACCATATAGCTTCGTCACTAAGCGGCTTCAGATCTCTCACATTAAATAAATCATGAGATTATATGTCACAAAACATAAATACATTATAACTCGTATGAAATGCTGAGATATTTGCAAAACTCCGGACCACAGGTGTATGCCGTGGAGAACGAACACGCGCTGTTGTCCTTACCGGGGAGCAGCTCACTTCACCACTACACCATCCGGGTCACCCGGGTTGCATCCGGGTTGCAAATATCTCAGCATTTCATACGAGTTATATTTCGCAGCATAACCTGCTATTAAGAAGAAAAAGGCAGTAAATAAAAGAGTTAAGATTAATACATTAATTCAAATACCTTTGGCTCATCAGATTTCTTATGGGATCAAAGCTTAATAAGCTTTACTTGCGTTATAGATGCTGTTTGTTTTCTGGTTCATAAAGGAAATTCAATCATCCACTGCTTCTTGTAATTAACTATAGTATCTATTAATTATATAAGGGCTGAAACCTCATCCCTTTGTGATTCCAAGAATCAAAAACGGACTAGAACTCAAGGTGTTTACCTCTAGACACTGACACCTGGTGTCGCGCGACTCCTCAGTAAGTGATTGATGAAGTTTCTCACTTCCTTCCAGCTCTCATGGTATTCTTGTTTACATAACGGCTTCTCCTATTTTCTTTGTTATTTATCCTTCTTTATGTTTTTTGGAGGTCTCAATTCGACAGTTTAGGAAGTATTTTTGTTCTAGTTCTAATTGGCTCTTCTCATCAATCACTGACGAAAGTAACTTATATAATCTTAGGATCGTTGTGCTCTTCTAAGTCTTCACCACACTCTGTCACCGGTCTTTCTGAATCACAGGCTTTTTTTTGCAAACTTACGAATACGATGGTTCCATGGTGGTACCGATTTCCGCGATTAGGCCATCGAGAAGTCAAAAAAAGTGTATTGTAACGTTCCGAATATACACAAACAATGATAATATTTCCCAAGAGTGCTGTAAAATTGAGAACTGCTGTTTCGCGATTCATGTAAAAAAAAAGAGAACAACAGAATGATAACATTATTTGAAAACCCTATAGTGGTCGTATAATGCGTTGTCATTGGGGTTTTCGCATTCAACTCGATTCATATTAGCTTCATACTACGTCGACCATAGACCAAACCATTTCATTACGCCAGAATTATTTTGATTAGAATTATTCGTCATCGTTAGTATTCGAGAATTGTCATGGAAACAATTTCGTTTTCAATCTGATTAATCTAACGGTGACTGTTATACCGGTGTCTTAGAGTTTGATATCCAGGCAGTTGTAATGAACTTAATGTAATGTAAAATAGTGCGAACAGCCTCGTAGCCTAGCACAGGTTATGCGAACCGTACTAAACCAACTAGGAAAACTTGTTTCGAAGGAAAAGCACAGAATGTCTGATTTTTTCTAGACGTCTCATGTGGCATTGGTAACTCCTTTACTTTTTTCTAACCTTCTAAACTCGAGTCACGCTATCTAGGTTTACACCAGCCCGTTACCTTATCCGTGACCATTACTGGATACCAGGTACAAGCTTTGTAGCCTCCATCCATTAATTGACGCAAACGTTCCGTAGACTTGATGGACAATGGCTTGTATAAAATGCATGTTGTCCTAGTGTGACCGTCAATACTCGGTCGTCACTGATTCTTCTCCATCAATTTTCACTGTACCTGATGTTTGCTTTTATCCAGAGCGTGAAACGTACCGGCGTATTGGCGGGGGCGACACGATGGGAGGAGGAGTCGGCACGTCAACTCGCCGCCAACACTATGGGCATGGATGGATCGGTACCGACCGCTGTACGTCTACAGGTATGTGAATTCCTGCGCCATATTCGTGTTATCGTTTTCTTTGCTGCTTAAATACACTGAGCGTGTTTTTTTCCTAACTTTCCATAATCTCACTATATAAACTACATTGGAGTATTTGTCATATCCAGAACATGTACTTCTATTTTTATTCTATTTTATCTATCTCTCTCTATTCTATTTTATCTATCTCTTCTATTTTTATCTATTTATAGTTTACTAATGTCTAAATTCTAAACTAAAAAAGGCTTTTGGACCAACGAATTAGCAAGGTGCACAGTAAGGCCTCTTCTTCTTTAAGTATTTGCGACATTCCTGGTCCTGACAAGTGTTCTGTTCACTTCTTTAACTTTCCTCCTCACCCATCGCATGGTCGGCCGGGCACAAACGGACATTTGGAAATAGGCCGAGCAAAATTACCTGGTCTGTTAGATACCAATAAATTGGATAAAAATTCTATGTGTATTACTTGTCCTCCTAATGGTACTCAAGTGATACGAGACACCGTTAGCAGTCCCCATTTGCTCTTGTGTCGTCAAAAGCTTCCACGAAGGGAATACTTGCACACGATCACAGCTTTTGTTCAAGGCCTTCATCAAAATATATTATCAGCTCATAGGTGATCTTTCTTTTTCGCTTTTAAAATTTTGCAAAACCAAGTCACAAACGGCTCAGTTGAAAAATTTGTCATTAAGACATTTCGTTTTCGGTTTGCCCTATTTTCGATATTTTAGCGTAAGCTCCAAAATCTGCGATCTTTGATCGTCGGCAGCCATCAGAGCATTGAATTCTCTTTCATTAACGAGTTACGGGATAATCCCATCATTACGTTTCGATGGAGTATTCCATATTCCTGAGTGAACTTTGTCATAAAAAATTTTTACATTCATGAGCTTGCACGTGGTTTTCACCAAAACGCTTTATTGTGACAGACATTTCGGCGATTGCGCTTCTTTAGACCCGAAATTATTCGAATCGCTACCCGCGGCAGCTGTCCCTCGATGTGGACTTTTCTATTCTCATGAGTCGAGTCCACTGGGCTGGAAACCACCAAACAAATCTTGAATCGTTTAGAAAGACTCATATCGCAAGGAATAACTGCCAAAGACATCCGATTCGCATCATTGCACATCTGAAGAAGGTGAAGGGGACGAAAATCCTGCCGCATTAGTGTTTTGGGTGGTAACTCTTGTAAGATCGTAAAGAAAGCAACACATTGGTTGATCACCGCGTTGTTACACTGAAGTCAGTTTCAAAAGAGATCTTTTTTACAGTCTGTTTAATGTTGAGACTTCTAATATGTACTCGGCCAGAGAACTTTTAGAGTAGAACAAATGAGCACGAGCTTGGATGCTCATTGTTTTCTTCGCTTCATCTTCGAAGCTGTTTTGACCGACTGGTGCCCGTTTCGCACTGATCAGTGCTGGAAATAATTTGTTCGTCTTTGCAACCTAGGCGTGATTAATCCAATTGGACGCCATTCGACGTCCTCGTTGTTGACATGGCTGTCTTTAGTCTAGTGTTTTTCTAATATTGTAAACGATCTTTCAAGTGCTTATCGATCGCAGATATCAGGTTGTCTTGGCGAATAGTTCTAGATTCAATTATAAAAGCATGGATCTACTGGTTCACATTTTTTTATCCTGTATCATCGGTATTTTGTTTCAAGTAGTGGATCGCCGAAGCGAACTGTTGAACGAGTTAGTCATATTCCTCATCTCATCTGTAAGAACGCCATTCCAAAGAGACGAAGAAGTACAGTAACTAAATTTATGATGGCTTTCGAGCTAGTGTATATTTTTATAGATTACTAATGTATATAATTACATCAAGGGCGCCCGAGGCGCAGTGGTCGGAGGCTCCCTGCAACGCGTGGATCGATCCCCGCTCGCCAAACCTTCCATCCCTCCGGGGTCGGAAAATTGGTAACAAACTTATCAGGGAGGATAGCAGCACTGGCTCGATGCATCGGTAGGCCACCGCGGGTCATCGTAAAGACCAGATATGCATTTAATCACCTCCAAACGTGCTTAATGAAGTCGAATGCATGGGGCATCCCTAAGGGATTGATCAGCGCCGTAAGCTTATTGTTTTTATTTTATACATAGGCAAAACGCTCTTAAGTCAAAAGTCGAGACTCGAGTAGTGGAAAGAAATACACGCATAAAAGTGGGTGTTTTCTTCGTTTAAGAAAAAATAAAAAAAAATTGGATCACAGTACTTAGTCATCAACATTAAGACGCTTTGGAACGAAGGTGATTATTTGATATTCAAGCTAATAAAAAACAAGTCTTCAAATTCTATTCGAGTAGAACTTCACATTCGCGGAACGTATGAATTCTTTGCAGCAATTTTTTGCTTGGTTAATGAGAATATGCCGACGTAAAACCGCCGTAATGAATTTGGCGCTTGAAACTTTTCCCCACGATAACTATCGTTGTGGCAAACTACCGTCTCTACCGGCAAACCGTCATTGACTTTGTTGGCATTTAGACTTTAAAAATAGGAAAGAAGAGTTGAAGCTTTTTGCGTTAATCTATCTCTGACAGATGTGTTATGCATTCTTCTTCATTAACCATAGTCGGAGATGATTGAATGCATGTCCTACCTATACAATGACTCGTGGTAGCCTACCGATGTATCCAGTCAGTGCTGTTATCCTCCCAGAGACGGGTGTGCTACCAATTTGTGGGCCTCGTAGTTATCGAAGGCTTGATGAGCCTGGGACGTGGGATCTAACCGAGATCAACGTGTGTTTTGCAATGGACCTTTAATCACTGAGCTGAATGTTTGACTTCTACATTTTCATATTGTTTCTATTGCTTCGTCTATTCATATATCTATTTATTATCTTTGAACAACTCTCTGTTTTATGGATTTCTTGAAGCTCCGCTCAACTCCAAAACATCTCTGCTAAATCACTATTTTCTTCGTGAGTAGACACAACGTTGTTATTCCACCATTTATTTACAATGTCTGATGTTTTTGCGGTTGCGTCTTATTCAGAGCCGTTTTGTTATTCGTATGTTTTCTAGTTATTTGATGGAGGCCAGCCATATAGGTTCTTAGATGAATGAGGAATGAGAAAAGAATCCGAGGTTAAAAGAAAGTCGGTCATGGGAATCCGTTCTAACTTACCATCTCAATAAAAACTGTATCGATCTTTATTGGCTGGTTGACGAATCGTAGTAATCACTGAAATTCTGGATTCATACGTTCGGTTCACACGTATCGACTACGGATGCGACAAAGACGTGAGAGTGTCCCAGCATGAATATCTAGGAATTTTGAGGAAAACAATCACCCGTTCGCGTTCAGCCTTGTTAATAAGGGGGCAAAACAGCAGAGCATCATTTCTAACTCAAGCCGAGAAGCAAACGCGACCACTGTCGCGAGCGATCATTGCAAAACAACAGAGCAGAGGGAAAAGGTGCTACGGCCCAAACGACGAGCCATGTAAAAGCATAAGTGTGTAAAATATTTCAGTGCTTCAAGGCCTTCATCTATCATTAAAGGCTAGCAGTGTTTCTATTCGATTCACTGGTTCACAACCACCATCCACGTAGGTAATCGGTCGGCTTTGTTTGTGAGTTCGGTTATCGCTTGAGCACCTATCATCTTTTCCTCGCTGACATTGAATGATGTTAGATTGTGGTTTCCTCAGATAACCGAGCTAGAGTTTTTCCAAATCTGTCTGTTCTTAGTCACCAGCGCTTATTGTTCGAGAAGGTTTGCCATGTTACAATTAAAATTTTTAAATAATGATGGACAACAACAGTTGTAATTGAATCATGTCCTTCAATTATTCGCCCAACCACGGTAGGAAAATGTAGCAGTCTGAATCCAATTAGTTAATAATGTAAAGGATGAAGGATAAAGTTCGGGGAAAGATGGAGGATAAACTGTGAAGGTGAGAACAAAGTGTTCCATGTTGAGCGATCGCTTAGCGCCGTTCATTCGACTCCATTTCTGGCAATGTAGAGTTGATATGGTACACATTTGGCCTATCAAGCTATGTATTAGGATGCTCCCAGAGAGTCCTGGTATTGATTTACAGATCCTAATAGCAGGTTAAGTTCACCTCGAGCTAGGGATCGAACCAGCGACCAGGTTGCTGTTATAGGGTGACTTTCACTATTGCTTCATATTTCCCGAAAATGTTTGGATTCGATGCACTGTATATAAACGCCTTTTTACCGTGTAGCCTTGCATCGAGTGTCAAAAGCGGAAAGCTGTTGAAGATAACAAACAGTTGAATTTAGCCTTTTTTCTTCTTCACTTATTTCCGATGAAGCTTTATGAGAACGAGGTTGCTCTGCACCATTATCCGTGCGCTTCTCCCACACAACGCCACTATTTTTTTAAACAAGAGATAATGGGTCTTTCATAATTCAGTGACATATACGAGAATTTAATGCCATAACTTTAAACATAGGAAGTGGAAACAAATTCTTTAGAAGAAAATGGGAAAAGAGGAAGAACTTGGAAAATAGTAACGATCTGGTGTTAATGATTCTTACAAAATCATTTATAGTAACTAGAATACTGACATGACTACTCAGGTCTCATGCTCCCACCTCTCTTCGAAGTTTTTCACCGTTTTCTTTTCAGATTCGAACTAGTCACAGTCATAGGTGCCTTTCAATTTACACGTGCTTTTTTGCATTACTCCCAAGGGCTGAGTTCTCCAAGCCTTCCCACCAGCTTTTCAGAATCACCGAACTGATAGCAGACTTTTTCGGAGAGATAAAAACACTGACTTGGTTCATCGGTGGCATTCGCAACTCATTGTATGGGTCAAATATGCATTCAGCCCTTCAGACATTTGATGAAGTCGAATCCGTGGAACATTTCCAAACGATGAATGAGACGTTGTCTTTTTTATCTTTTTACTTGAATCTACTAGTAGTAAAACTAGTACTTCCCAAGATTATCTTCCTTTTAAGCTCATTATTGTTCAATAATTCACTGTTTTTAATGATGAGCAAAGACGAAGTTGGCATTACAGTATTTATCAATACACAGTAGCTGACGTTTCGGCTGTTTCGGTACCTAGTTTGAGTGCGGTGTGCCTAATCTCTTTTAAAGCGAGTGGGTATGAACACTTTGGCAAAATGCGAAGTGCACTCTGTGTCCGTATAAAAGAACACTTAGTCAACGAGTAAGTTTAAGGTTAAAAGAAATACTAGTAGGCACGCATAGAACAGAGAAACACAACGGAGAAGATTTCGAATTAGAAGTTACCATCCTTACACAGGAATCGAAGACTCAAGAGCGTAAAACTCTCGAAGCGTTTGGATGAATTCCACAAATTCAAAAATGAACAGCAGGAAGGAGTGCGTATGATCGTGCATGACCTCATACCATACCTAGGAGTGATTTTTTGAACCCAGCTGGCCGCATTCCTCACCCATGTAATACTCTGTGCGGCTAGTCTCCGCCAAATAGCTGGAAGATTTGCAAAGAAGAAAGCGATGAGTCTTTAAAAGAAGCTGCCTGCTGTGCGAGTGAAAACCTGTGTTAAGTTTTGTCTGCTGAGGTTATCGAAGCGTTTGGCTGCATATGTTGCATGTCAATTTAACCTTTCTAGGCTCTGAGGACGGCGAAGCCGCGAAACCTCAGCTGTTATTTGTTACTAAATGCTGATACCAACCACATGTTTGCTTATGAAGGAGAACAGTGAATTATTAGTAGTTCGCGTCGCGAGTAAGAAATGCTATCGTGTTTTTATCTTCACACATCTCGTTCACACCTCTTTCTGCCGCTTTTCCGTCACGCCTTCTCTCCATCACCTCTATCAGTTAGTGTGATTTCCTAGCAACACACAGTGTAACATTTTTGCGTAGACGAGTCGATTTCGGCTATCAACAACCGCAGAGCAAATAGTGCTGGCGCTTAATCAAGGCAGTGTGACTGATCCAGAATAGGTGGAGGTGGTTTCAACTCCTGCTCTATCTAGATTTCAACCTCACTTCTATCCGTGGTTTAGTGGTTCGGAAATGATTCTCAATTTAACTGACGGCACTAGCCGATGTTACATTTACTAGTATAATCATCATACATTAGTAACAAGTTCTTATCACCCAGTTTACAGAACACTACATTCGTTCAACTCCATCTAGAAATCGCAGTTTTCTCAACACAGTGACCAACTTGACAATGTTAACTAATAGAAAAGCCACCATTGGGTTGTCGTGATAGGTTAGAAATTGATTCATCCTCTCTCCGCCTCGTTGACCAATGAAGTGTTTATTTGGACTGCAAAAGGTAATCAAATGAGGAGGGCTTTGCTCACGAGAGGAGCTTGGGTTCTGTTTATTCCGTTAAGCAAAATTGCACAGGTGCGACCAATTAAAAAGCATTAAAAAACGAAAAAAAGTGAATCAATAGGGTACAAATGTTCAATCATTGGTGTTGATCAATCACGTGGAATGCGCTATGCATTCGAATCTATTCGTTGGGATGATTTAATACAAATTTGACCAATACATGACTTTGTGGTGGCTTATTAACGTACCAAGTCATTGTTCTTATTCTCCGAAACAAATGCAGTATGCGCTCAAGGTGCAGAATCGAAGTAGGAACCGATCCAGTGTGTATTGCAAGGTATCTCTAATCACTGCGCTGCGCCATCCTCTTCAGTGCTACCATAAGTGATATTCTCCGTATGATTAGTTCACACTTTCAACAATTAAGAACTCTTTAACGTGCTTGACAGTCTTTTTCTTGTAATATAAGATGCATTCAAAGGTTTCATTTGGCGCCTTCAATCGAATCTATTAAATTTACTGCTTCATATCTTAGTTCAAGTTTTGTTTTTCTATATGTATCCTTTCACTGATAAGCTGATAACACTAGGCTGATGAAAGGGTTCATTCGGCTAGTGTCTCGAAGTTTTCGTCTTGTCGAGAGCTGATGCTTCCTTTCCTCCTCATGATCTGAGCCCACTGGAGAAGATCCGACTGGATACGACGATGAAGGCTTCACATGGAGAGAACGAAAAACTATGGACTATTGACTCGGATCATCGAATCGGAAGAAATGGAAGAGAAAGACGAATGCGTCGAAACGTTGGCCCAGTAAACATCTATATCAACCTCGTTTTAGCTTATCAATGAAGGGATACATATTGATTAATCATGCGGAAATTAAAGAAAAGTCGGTTTTTAAATTACTGTTTGCCTTACTTATCAATGTTTTTAAACCTTTCCTGCGTTATAGGATGATGCCTGCTGGCAGACGCAACATCGTGTGCCACCAGATGTTCAGCCACCACAAATCGGAAAAATCTCGATCCCGGAATTCAGTGATCTTCATGAAGTCCATGTTAGTCAACCTCATAAAGAATGTTCTCTAAAATATCAGAGTCTTTTCCACGAATTCACCCCCAACTATTCAAAATTCAACTATTTGTGAGCGAGTACTTTAATATTCGAATGTGTCCCAGAGCATTATCCAGAAATTTTCTTCTGCTTGAAAGCTTACCACTTTTTTTCTTACTTTTTGACACTTCACCAACGAGGGATGAGTGTTTGTTACGGAGCATGCCTGAGGGCTTTTATTTTTGCTGAAGTTCTATTTCTTTCCTGAGTGATTTGGAAATGCACTGCGAAGATAATGGCCGCTATCAAATTTAGACTGGCACAGACTCACGGAAGCCTACGGTTTCATGTACCTTGTTTCATTGATAAGCTAACACGAGGTTGTTACCAAATATTTATCGTGCTGACGTTTCGACATATTCGTATTCGTCAGAACCGATGATGCAGGTGGATCCTCATAGCTGTCCGTTTTCTGGATGTGGTGTCTTCTTCGTCATATCGAGTCGGGTGTTCTTCAGTGGAGCACCGTTCCAATGCGGCAACCTCCATCAGTGATCGTATAGTATTGTTTTTTCCGCAATTTTTATCCGTACTACTCTTTCGCGTGTGTGGCGCAGTGGTTGGAGGCGCCACTGCGACACACACGTGTAATCGATGCCCGCACCCCTCGCCTACCAACCTTCCATTCCTCCACAGTCGGAAAATTGCTACCAGACTTGTCTGGGAGGATAGCAGCACTGGCTCGATACATCAATAGACCACCGCGAGTTATTGTAAAGGCCAGTTATGCATTCAATCAATTCCAAACGACGCCTAGTGAGTCGAATGCATGACGCATCCCTTAAGGATTGATCAACGCCGAGAGCATCATCTTTTTCTCCCTTTTGCTATTCTTCCGCTTTCGCTTTTCGTCGAAGCTGGAGCAAGAAAGCAATTAGACAAGGGATTTTATCCAGCACGACATGGTGATGTTCTCCAGAATATCGTTAGTGTTTGAGCCTGCCACTATACGCTTTTTTCCAATTTTCTGAAGATCGTAACTCTTATCAAGATTAAAATTGAATGAATATTTCATGAAAGTTTTGCTTAATCTTAGAGCGCAACAGTAAAATCGATCTCACACGTCTATGTAGTTCTGACTTCCTTCGTTACTCTAGTGATTGAGAAATTGTCAGAAATTAATGAGAAGTCAGCAAAAAAAATATGTTTCCGTTCAGCGCACCGTGATTGTGAACAAACCATCCTATCAGAAAGTGAAATGGAACGAATTTCCCGAAGAAGTCGTACCTGAGATCGGATCCGCGCCAAAAGTTCACACACAGGAATGGAAGCCAGTGAATCAGGTTCGTACTGTTTTCCTCATCTAATATTAGTGATTTTGTTTAGATTTCCTTATAGAATTTCTAAGAGACTTTTCTTTCTATTTCATTAATTTCCTCTAGCGTTTACGGTCTTCACAGCAACAAAGCATTTTAGGACCTGAATTCGATCGGTCGACCAATCAATAACGTGTCATGATATGATATTGTTAGCGCTCGTTTGTGTTTCGCAACATTCAAATATATAGGAAAAGAACTGCTTTAAAAAGCATTTAGTTAGGTCTTCAGTTAAAAATGGTCGGCTCTGAAGATAAAATCATGCCTCCAGTGGGTGGAACACCTCATGTGAAGTTATACTATTATTAAATGTGGTAAATAAGAGTTCAGAGAACACTTCTTACTCTACCTTTCAGTAAACTGAGTTTCATTCATTTCCTTATTTTAATTTTTATTTAGTGCCTATTCATCTTTCATAGCCGTGTATTATGTCAAGTACAACCAAAAGGACGTTGTAGTATGAGCAAAACTCAGAACGTTTTATCCACTGCACCAGCTGAGACCTCGCGTTGCCTCTTTTTTTTTGCTTTTGAATTTTTTTCGTTTTTACATGGTTCGACATCACAGATTGTAGGGATTATCAGCATTTCTTTCATTTGCTTCCTTTTTCACATACATCATTCATGAAGGTCTTCGGACTTGCGTGCGGCTTTATTCAGGAGCGTCTTGAGGACTTAGTTTTCTTCACGCGTAAATGTAGCTGAATGCTAGTGGAGTAGATTGTTCCCGAAATTCTGTGGTAACCGTGTTAGGACGTATCCAAGTATTCATGAATATCAGTCAACAACCTTCATGCACCATCAGACCGATTCGTTGTTACACCACTTAAACTTCATGCATTAGTGCAATTTAGATATAATGTAACTGATATGCGTAATATATGTGATGTATAGGGGAGGTGAGTAACGCAGTGGTTAGTGATGCCGTCGATCAGAAAGCAAAGGAGCTAGTTCGATTCCTTTCCCAACGCTGTTCTCGAATCCAACGTATAGATGTCGTAGCTGGGCTATCTCCAAGATTTAAAGAAGAATCGGCTCGGCCAGCATTCTACGACATTCATAAAGAAAACGATGTTCTTAAAAAACAGCCGAAGCAAATGCGAAGCGTTCGAACACCTCTGTGGACGATGAATGCGAGGGAAAACGAATCGAATGCAAGAAGTAGAAACAATAGATGTATTGACTGGTCATGTAAAATAAAATGAAAAAATGAAATATGGAAGTGCATAAATATAAATAGAAATATGGGGATAGGAATATGGAAAAATATATAATATATAACATATTTTTTAAGGATCCTTTACGTTAGTCTTTCTTACCTGCATCAATGCCTATGATGGCCTACTTATTCAAATACGTTTCCTTCTTTCTTTTGGACTCGAAGCTCACTAATACTATTTTTTCGCTTTTATATTTATTGTTATACTTTATAACGTTCCTTGTACTTTAGGAAACTATCGAAATACAACGTAATCAGTACCGACCGTCGAAAATCTCTCGTGTTTGGCCGCCACCACAGGAAGAGGTCGTAAAGGAGACGTAAGTGTCCAGTTTCCTTCCCCGTGTGATTTTATCCACAATATGCGTGTTTTTAGTGACCTCTGAAATCAGTATCGATTGTTCCGAAAAAATCTTATATTGTATATTGATTTTTTACTGATCATCTCTTTGCTTCCACTGATACCACTTGATTTCATTTCCTTCATTTCTTGTTAGTTCTTCAAGCTCATCAAGTAGAAAAATCACGTATATTGCTTAAATATTTAGGGAACCAGTCCGAGTTATTAAAGCAAACGATGATTGTGGATGGATTCAACAGGTATGGGAAGATCAAATAACTATTTAAAGCGCTGGTGAACTTCAAGATCTATCTTCTATAATGTTTCGATACCAATAGGGCGACTACAAATCGATAACCATATATTAAACACAGTAGTGTCAGGTGTACAACCTCATCAATACCGTTTATTCTCGTTTATTCATCGTCAATAAATTAAACTTTCGATAACCTTTTATTTACTGTCTATTGTTTTTCCTTATGCAAAGGTATTATGTGAAGTACAACCATGATGATGTTGGGATATTTGCAAAACTCAGACTGAGTGCCTAGGTGGTGCACTGGAAAACACATGAGCCTGCGGAAAAATACTCGCCGGTTCGAATCTGGCTTGGGGTCTATGTTTGCAAAATTTAGGTTTGTTTGACTAGTGTAAACTAAAGCAGGAAAGGGCTCATGTAGTGTAGTGGTTAAAGATGCCTCAAAATACACACATTATCGCTGCTTCGTTCCCATTGCTTCGGATGCTTCCGTCTTCCATCACTTCGGTGACGGGAATTTGCTACTAGACCTGTATGAGAAGAGAAAAAACACCGATTTTATACATCGGTAGCCCACTTGGAGTCGTTGTGTAGGTTAAATATGCATTCTGTTACGTCTGCGATGTCACGAATGGAACTCAGTGCATGTGCTTCTTTTGGGAATTGGTCTATACCGAGTGCTTCTAGCGCTTTAAAACACGAAACAAGCAACAAATTTGGGAGGCCGACACTTTACATTGTAATGTTAAGTGTTTTCTTCTTGATTGCTCACCGTTATCAATCAAACACATTGGATTTTCCGAGCAGAAATCCATTGCAGATGTTCCTGTGATTTGATCTCTATTGCTTAACAAAGACCGCCGTTCAGCAGCGTGATGATAGAACTTTCATGATTGATTATCACCTAGTGAAGGTAAAACGTCCTAGTAATTTATGTCTTATTCGTGACTTTATGAAACCTGGGAAATCAAAGCTGTTACTTTTTACAATAGTGATCGGCAGAATTGAAAAGCCTAATGCTTTCATCGTTAATGTATCCCCTAGGGTTGCGCCATGCATTCGATTCCATTCGTAATATTGCAGAGATACAACCACAACGTTGCTGAGATATTTTTTCAAAACTCTGGACCGCAGGTGTCTATGGTGGAGAACGAACGCGCTATTTTCCTTTCCGGGGAGTAACGCGTTCACCACCACACCATGCGGGTCCTTCGTTTCGCCTGTCTCTCAGCTATTTCTATCGGCGTTAACAAAACGTTAAACATTGTGATTTCAATTACAGCCATAGCTTAACTGGGTTCTATGCCGATTTGCGCTCCCCAGATCAAAGAAAACAAAACGTTAAAACATTGTGATTTCAATTACAGCCATAGCTTAACTGGGTTCTATGCCGATTTGCGCTCCCCAGATCAACCCCGCTGACAGGTGATTGCTGTGGCGAAAAGATCGATAGAAATAGCTGAAAGGCAGGCGAAACGAAATACCCGCATGGTGTGGTGGTGAACGCATTACTCCCCGGGAAGGACAATAGCGCGTTCGTTCCCCACCATAGACATCTGCAGTCCATAGTCTTGCAAATATCTCAGCAACGTTGTGGTTGTATTTCGCCTAGTAACCTGCCATGAAAATTATAGAAGGCAGAAAACAAAACGTTAAACATTGCAGAGATAATCAAATGCGTGCATGGCTTATAGAATTACTTCCGCTCGATGTATCAACTCAATGTTTTTACCCTCCTAGATAAATTTACCAACACTGGAGGGATACTGGGCTTGATAACCTACTATCGGACTAGAAACCATTTGCATCGCAGGCTACCCTTAACCACTGCGCTACATTGTTGTCACCAAAAATAACAGTATTAACTGCAATCATACCAGTTGCAAGCAGTAATAATAAGATAGTGTTTTCTTCTTTGAGGGATACGAGGTTGTGAATAAGGTTTACCCAGTACTGGCTGACGTTTTGGCGGTTTCGTATTCTGCTCAGCCTAGGATGGGCAAATTGACATAACAACTTCAGCAGAAAAATCAAAACATGAATGTTATTTGCATCGTGGAAAAGTAAACAGGTTACGAAAATACTAGGCTGAGTAGATAGGGGGTCAATTTGACAGCTCTAAGCTCTGAAAAAGGCAAAGACACTGAAACGGTGTTGTAAATAAATATCCAAGTGACAACCTGGTGTCTCTTAAAGAAGAAAGCATTGACTAATAATGAGGACAACGCCCTGTGTAATTCTACTGTTCGCTAAGTAACTCAAGTATGAATCATCTAACTTTCCATTCTCCTTTGGCACCTATGCAAGCTGTTCACAATAGGTTTCGTTTACTCAAAGGTCATGGGAACATATTAATCTTTTTGTATGATACTATTTACGATAATTGCTTTTGGTAGCTAGGTAACCACAGTGCTCTGGACTTTTGCTGCCACATATTTATCTTGCGTATTCTTCGGGATGAAAATTTCGAAGTCCATGAATTCGGTGCCCTTCCAGGATGATCAGCGCTTGCGGAACACCGCATTTCGACAGCAGAAAATTAGAGAGGGAATGATCTTAAAGGATAATGAAAGTAGAGAATAACAACAAGAAAAAAGTCAGAACAGTGCTAGTATAGCGAGACTAATAACAGCTGGAATTGAAAATTAGTACTATTTCCTTGTCTGTAGTATCTTCTTGTTCCATTCTAGTCATGTTAGTACTTCTTTAAGCAATGAATTCTTTTCCGTGAATTTCGTAGTTCTAGGACGTTTTGTTTTCCACTTATAATATGTAGCACTAGAAATCTATGATTTATGTATTCAATTATCGTTTCAGGACCCGAACGACGTTGTAAGATCCACCGTATGGCAGCGGAATTCGAAAATTGACTTGGTTTGGCCACCACCTGAAGGAGAAACAGTCATTCAAGGATATCAAGGTGTTTATATCAAAATCACTGATTTCATTTGTGCTGCTGAATAGCGGAGAATTTTGATTCATTCAACATTTAGGGTCTCAGACCATTCATCTTCTATTTTTCGTTCTTCCTTTGCTTCTGTCAATAGAGGTAGTCCAGCACAAAAAGTAGCCTTGAAGAAAGTGTGGGATTCACTGGCGGGTCGCTAGTATGGTTGACTGGCTTATTTATCCACGTTCTTTACGACGAACTTTCTCATTTCAACGTGTACTTCAACTTTACGTGCTTATCATTGTTCCTGTTATCTACTTCTCACATATGACGAGATTTTTATCGCAGTTTCACTTGCAAAATCATACTTATCACTACTACTACTAGTTTATGTCATGAAGTCGTCATCACGTCCTCTAAAGTCTCAGTCGATGGGCTCCCTTCGGAACGCTTCTTTTCAGATAATTTTCATGATTCTTTTCTATCTACCTGGCTGATTGTAGTCGCAAAATAACAGAAATTCAGGTCCGAGGGAACGCTCTAGTTTTGTAATATAAGGACCTCTTCGGTGAAGCTAAGACTCGGTGAGCAATGGTGTAGCCACATGTTTCGTCGACACAATGAATGAAAACTTCTACTTTTTTCATTTACTTTACTCATTATCACGCTTGTGGAGATTACATTAGATCACAAGAGATTTCTTTCATTTCGTCGTTTCTTCGCATTCAGCATCCACGGTGGTCTTCAGATTTGTGTACTTAATTGTTCTAGTGAGAGGTTGAACTAGCGACTCTTCGCGTGTTATTGAGGTCTCTAACCACTGAAATTCTAACGTCCCTATAAATGAAGATAAAGTATACAAATATTCTAATAAATAATATTTTAAAATATCTTGCCTACGGTGTCATCAATCATTACTTCCGTAATTCATGCAATACTCTGTGAATCGACTTGTTGCTTTCTACAAGAATTTCTGATCTTGTAATATGATTCTGAGCTATTGAGGTTCTAAATGATTTAGGATCTTTCTGAAACAACGTTGTGGGGTTATGTAAAAACAAACACTGATGGGTTAATATTCGCGACCACCCTAATTTTTCACGGTGACTATGGATGATTTCTTAATAACTGAGCTATTAGAATATTTGAAGACTTGACAAACTTGTTGAATATTTTTGCCAGTCGTTGTAAGGTTTTTCTACGATGATAGTTGTTGTTTTAAAGTTCTCAATCAGATGTTGAAAACGTGGTAAAAATGTAATCAAATGACTTGAAATTTTTTAGCGCAACTGCGGCAACGGTGGCTGAGTAATGCCTGTTTAAGAATGAAAAAATGGTTTCCGATCACATATGCATTGAGATCTAAGCTTATCATTGGCAGTGTGTTGACAACCTCCCAACGGTTTACCGCCTCATCGTGGCTGGGAGGTGTTCCTGGGTGTCGGGCTGCGATGTACAGTGGGGGATTCGTCCCCTCGGCGGTATCTCCCAAGATGAGGAGCCCGGCGTTTCCATCATGAAGCCCAACTAAGAGCAAACCAATGCCAGGACCCACCACCGTCCATGGATCAAACTAGTCGCACGGTGGCAAATCTCCCTCTGATCCACAAGGGCTGCGACTGCCCCTGGTGATGAAGACCTGGGGCGGACTTTGGTCAGGTTGACCTCGGGATTCCAGGGAACCACAATGGCTAAATTAGCAAAATTACGAAAAAACAGGAATTATGTTGGGCCCGTACAACCAGTGAAGAAGGACCATATGGGTATCCAAGCGACTAAATATGTTAACAGTGCTGAAATGCTCAGTGAGATGTCTGTATTTCCATTGCATATGGTTATAATTAACTAGTTAATAGTCAGAAAATTGTTCAAGTATATCTTCATATTTTTAGCCACCCTCACCTACTGATTTTGTTCTACTATTCTAGTTAGTTCTTAGAATGGAGTACAACTTTTAGTACCTTTTATATTCAACAATAGTAGTAAAGGAGTACTAATAATGCTTGCTAGCAATTTTTTCTTACATTACTCAGCTTCAGGTCCGCAGCACATGCCATCAGTTCAATGGCCGCCAGCAGAAAGTGAGCAACACGAGCGTGAGCAAATTGAAGTTCTGCAGAAGCATATTCCTGCACGAAAAATGGACTACCAGTGGCCTCCACCACCGCCTGTCTATCAGGGTAACTTATACACAATCTATGATAGGTATCTTCACTTTGAGATCAGTAGCTAAAAGTTTCCTGTTTTCATTTGAATTCCATGGCAAGCCTCTTTTAATAAATCGGGAATCATACTATTCAGAATCGTAAACAACTTTATTAATAAATGCTGCTATAACTTAGTTGATACTGGTTAACTTCGGATACGGAGAAGACAGTGCTGATAGGATTCGTTTAGTGGTGAACGGCGACATCACACCGTCAGACGCCGCATCTGCCGTTGCTGTTGAAACAAATGCCGCCAATGTAGTCACCGTTCCCGGTGGAGGAAAGACTATCACCACCATCACAACAACAAAAACCAGTCAGAATACAAAACAACCAGTGCCGAATCCGGTAAGCAGCATGAAAATCGGAAATCTTGTAATTGAATAGGGTTGGTTTGGAAAGTATTAAGTAGAGTGTTTTTGTGATATGCACCTCCTTATCCTATCACCATTGAGTCGGTGCTATTCTTATCACTCTGGTCGCTCAGTACTAATGTTACTTCTATCGTAGCATTCGGAATGTGATGCGGTACCGTGTTAGCGCTACGCTACTGTAATACGATAGGCATACGCACGTCTGCATGATTTCTATTGAAGGCTTTTTTTCGAAAAGGTTTTTTTTTTACAAATTATCAGATTTAGAGAATAGCTTTCCATGGACCACGACTGATCTAGGATCTGTGTTGAATGAGCTGTTGATTGAATGTAGAAAATATAGAAAGTATACTTTGCAGCAAAATAAATAGTCCGAAGCCATATGCTTTGAAATCAATGCATGCTGTCAGTAATTTGTTGACAAACTAGTCGTCGCCCGTGATGGTCTTATTCTGGTACTGGAACTATGTAGTTATGTGGTTTATGTCTTTATGGAACGGTTGCCGTGTTTAGCATCATATATCGTCTAAAGGTTATTTTTTGAATTAACATCGAGAAGCTTCTAGAAAAACTGGCCCTACAAAAGTACTTTTGTAATGAAAGTGGGTAGCGTAGTGGTTTTATAACCTTTCAAGCTTCTTGTATTTCAAATTTATTTGCTTGTATCTAGCATAGTTGTGTCCTTTTTACATGGATTTACGAAATGATTTGAGGACAATAAAAAAAGGAAGAAGCTTTCGGCGTTGATCAATCCGTGAGGGATGCGCCATGCATTCCACTTCGTCAAGCGTCGTAAAGAGTGTTTGAATCCATATCTGGCCTGCACAGTGACTTTCAGTGGCCTACCGATGTACTGAATCAGTTCTATCATCCTTCCAGACAACAGTAGTACCAATCTGTCGACCCTGGATGGACGGAAGGCTTAGTGAACCCGGGGAGCGGAGTCGAACCCATAGGTACTGCCGGGCTCCTCTTACCACTGCGCTGCACACGCCGCTGATCAGACGATATTGTGGTCTCATTCGTAACAATAAGGACATTATGATTAATTTGCCATCTGCCCTCCTTTTTGTTCTCATCGATTAATCTTTCAGTGTTTCCAATAATGAGTGTAGCGAAGTGGTTAAAGGTCCCCTGAACACGTTTTATTGCTGCCTCGATCTCTCACCCTGAACGCTCCATACCTTCTAAATATTTATTCGGGGTCGACAAATTGGAACCAGAATTCCCTTGAAAAATGATACATTGACTTAGCACATTGGTATGCTACCACAATTTATCGTACAGGCTAGACACATTTCTACGACAGTACGAATAGGATGCATGACGTATTCCTAGAACACTGATCAACGACAGACATTTTATCCTTTTTATCCTTCATTCATCATCACAGTGCAAACTTTTCACTAGATCGACGCACACGATAGAGTCCCTACTAAACAAATCTTCGAGGGGTTCATGGTAGAGACATTTGCTATGAACCTAAGTTTTATTGCAGCTTCATGGTCGCTTTTGTTTAGCTATTAATTAGACATTTATCATTTAAACTTGAGCTTGAGAGTCAATAACTGTCGACCTGAGCATTGATTCCATTGAAGCATTACCCTTCCGGATCAAAGTTCTATTAGTGAAAAGATCCGGAACGCACTGGCTTAAATCCTTCCTAGGCCCACAAATCACATTAAGACAAGGGTGAGGCCGAAGACTTATATGAACCTGGAGAATCTCTGTAGAGAATGTTGCACTGTTTTCAAGGTCATAACTTGCAGTAAACGGCAACATATCGGGTGTCATAAGCTGGAACACCGCGATCAGAAGCTGGCCTGGTTTTTATCCCATCCATGGTATGTCGTTGTTCAGAAGTTTTTACTCAAACGCTGTACATTCTTCCGGTGGAGGATGCTGTGATAGAACTGGCAGTGATTCCATATAGTTTTGCCTGGCTCATATCGTCTCTGTACCAAAGTTTTCCATAAGAAAAGACTATCGCCTCTTTCGTACAAAGTGCTTCATTCTACAGTTAGGGCAGAAAGCTATGCAGTTCAAAAAAAAAGTCGATTTGATGGGAAATAGGACTTGTTGAGGACTGTAGAAACAGACCTCCCAACGGTTTACCGCTTCATCGTGGATGGGAGGTGTTTCTGGATGTCGGGCTACGATTTGCAGCGGGGGATTCATCCTTTCCCCGGATCTCCCAGGTCTGAGAGGGAAAGATCCACCACCGTCCTGGCATAGTGGTAGATCTCCTTCTGATCCACAAGTGCTGCGACTGCCTGTCGTGGTGAGGACCTGGGGCAGATTTTGACCAGACTGTCCTCGGGATTTCAGAGAACCACAATAGCTTAACCAGTAAATCTCCGGAAAATGGTGATTATGCTGAAATCTGTAAGTATCTGTTATCTGTAATATCTGTATCGGGGCACCTATTGGAAATTGGATCCGCAATAACCTGTGAGATTTTGCTAATTAAAACGAAACGAACGCTCGCATCTTGACATCCTGATGGAAGGAAAGCCTGACATTTTGGAATAGAAATATAATTAAGAGAACTACTGGTGATTAGTTCTGTACGACTTACGTTCCATACTATCACTAACATGAATATCCTTTCTCAAGGGGTTCCCATTTTGAACGCCTCCAAACGTTTTCGTTGATGAATAACTGTATAGCTGCCGTTCATAACAATATGAAATTAGAAAATCTGGCGAACTATTTGCCGGTGTTTGTCAGAACTGGCTTGCTTTTCACAATGTGAAAATGAGATGTACCTCCAAAACAGAACACCAGTATGACAATGTTATTTAATAAGAAAAGAAGTCTATACAATGCTGGCATTTACCGCTTATTCTGTATACTGTCTGTCGTCCATCGGTTCCCTATTCGAGAGGTTGAGAGCAGGATTTAACGAAGAGCAGGCAAATGGGCAGGAAAGGCTTCGAAAGAATTCTAGCACGATGGATCATTTCCACACAATAACAAAACTTACTGAAGCATTGTGTGAACGCAAGGTGGTCTTATGTCTCACATTCACTAACTCAATGAGCGCATCCAACATCGTGATCGATTCATTAAAAAATCGAGAATGGATAGCTATTGCACTTTTTCGCACTGTTGTGGCTTTTTCATTCACTATTTTAAAAAAGTAAGAGGCGCGTGTAGCACAGTGGCTACACGTGTCTTGCAATACACTTTGGTTCCGTCGGTGGTCCGCTCCGGTGCATCAACCTCAACCTTTCTGCCCCCCCCCCTTTCATCAGTTCGGCTTAGGCCTATTGCTACCGGGCGTGTTTGGAAGCGTAAAAGTGCTGGCTTTACATATAGCTCGCAACCACAAGTTATCGGTTATACCCAGAATGCACTCAGCTATGCCTGCAATGTTGCGAATGGAGTCGAATGCATGACGCATCCTTCAGTGATCGGTCAATGTCGAATGCTCTGTCACTTTATCCCAACAGTACGAGTGAAAAACGATGGTTATGATTCTGGGTACCACATCGTTACACGTTTTTTTTTCAATGGTGTTCATGGTATTGTGGATGGAATTGCATGTGCCTTTAACAACAGTCTTAAACTCTATTTTGATCATCCTATGTTTTCCTTCAATAAGCAGACACGAGGTTGTTATTATAGAATTTATTAGGATGCAATAGCTGACGTTTCGGCGGTTTCGCCTTCTTCAGAGCCGTTTATTTGTTGTAAGTATTTAAGTTAGTTGATGGATAGCAGCCTCACAGAGTAATACATGGGCCCTTTATTTTGATCGTCATTGATGACAGTAAACGAGAATAACAAAGAGAACGAACTCTCGTCACAATCTCTTCAGGTCGAATTTCAGCAACAGCACCCACAGCAACAGTCAGTTCGTGTCGTCAAAACAAAGTAACGAACGACTTCTATTCGATTGGAGCTCTACTTCTATAAATAGATATATTATTTGCAGATGTTATCTTTATAGTACTGAGCAAACAATTTTGTCGCCATTTTGTATACTTTCTACAACTATTTTTGCTTTATGACTTTCCGATAGTTGTTTTCGAATAAAACAGATCGCCTACGTCTATCCAGACATCGATTTCAATATACGTAATCCATCGTTAATCAGAATTAACAGAGCGCGTGTGACGCAGTGGTCTGAGGCGCCCTGCAAAACACATGGAATCGATCCTCGCGCTTATGGCCTACCAAATATTCCATCCCTCTGGGGTCGGCAAATTGGTACCAGAGTCGTCTGGGGTAGGATAGCAGTACTGGCTCGATACATCGGTGGGCCACCGGGTGTCATTGTGAAGGTGAGATATGCGTTCAATCACCTCCAAACGATGCTTAATGAAGTCGAATGCATGGTGCATCCCTCAGGGATTGGCCAACGCCAAAACTTTATGCTTAATTTTTTCTATCCGATAGCATCGGTCATCACCTAGATTGTCACAACGTCATAAGTTTTAGTGCACTGTCGTCACCTCGAACTCTACCTGTCAGAGAAGCGTGATCGCGAAACAGAAGTATTATCATATATCTATACTTTTCATCGCTAACACGCATTGACTGCGATAAATGTTGAGAAGCTATAACGACATTTTGAATGACCGTTATCAAGTTGTTATTCAGGTTCTGGAATGATTAGACCGATGTTTCGCTGAGTTGTCGTACTATGGTGTACCTAGTTTTTTAGCGTAGACAAGCAGCCGTAACCATAAGAGAATTCCTACCTTCTTTCTGATAGCATTTCCTAGGCAAAGATTGCAATTTCATGTGGCCGATCACTCGTGGTTCGGCTTCAGTATGATGACAATGATTGTATTTTTTCCTCCCGTGACCATTGTTGTACGTCCCAGCACGGCTTGCGATCAGTGCCCATTCGCAGTGAAAAGGTGGTAAAGCACATGGAGTGGTAAAAATATAAATAATATGCAGAAGTCATAATCAATCTAAGAATTTTTCTTACAGGGATTTTTTTACACAACCAGTCTTCACGTCTACTGGGTAGATCTTAGCACGTCTACCATTTTGGTTCGTTTCCTGAGGTACTTCATGCATGAAGGTCTTTGAACTTTAGCGTATGCGTTTGGCTGGTGGTTGAGGATTTTCGCGTTATATATGAGTTCAGTTGAGTGTTGATGGAGTTAATTTTCCATGGGATCGAGAGAGCGATTCTGTTGATTGTAATACAACTAGAGTTGCTTCTGCTCGAGAGCTTAACAACATCACAACTAATTTCTTCCGAGCCGGAAGCCATGAACTATGAACGTACTTTTTGCAGCCATATGGTCATTTATCTTCACAAGGAAACGTTTCCATACTGGCGTAACTCGTACAAGATCGCTCTGACTAGCGTGGTTGACTGGATAGGCACTCATGGCGGCATCGGACCTACTTGTTGAAGTGATCTATAGTTTTTCGTGACCATTCTACCCCACATATCAAAAACTTTAGAAAAAATTCAACCAAGCAAGTACGTATTCGATACCAATTTTGCCACATGGATCATATCCCAGCCGTAAGAATAGTTGTGAAATTCTGTCAGAAGTAGAACCTGGTCTTTATTTTAGCCGGCGTCACGTCTTCGAAAAAGCGTTTGACAGTGTGGAAGGAATTACATGCATAACACATCGGCTTTCGTCGACCGAAAAAAGGATCCGTCCCTGATAAAACTCTAACTGACTGACATCGTAACAGTACCACGAAAATATAAGTTTTGCATCTATCACTAGCCATTCCTATAGAAACATCGGTCCGAACCGTCGCACTACAAGGAATAACAAACGACATCATTCGATTGAAACAAAAATGGTATGTACGTTGAAAAATCTTCAAAAAGATTTAAACAAAAGTGGAAAATCCCCATAAGACTCTTGTCGATATTGTCATCATCCCGACAAGTTTCAGTGAGGAAGAAACGACGCTTTAAACAACTCAACGATGCCAGAGGACTGCGTATAAGCAGGAAGAAAGGCCACTTCATAAAAATCGCACTATGCGAAGGCAAAAAAATCGAAGTGAATGGTTTTCCTATTACAAAGATCGTACCCTGCGTGTACCTACAACGTATGGGCCTGGAAAACAAGATGTCAGCAGTACTCGCGTAGTGTTCTGTCTCTGCATAGAAAGCGTGGGATAGCTCTTCAACGATCAAGAATGCCGTGCACAAAACACATAGAGCTTGAGCGATGTCTTTTGAAAGAGCACCGAAAACATAGAGAGGTCGGTTAACTAAGAAGAACAGTGAAGAATAGAAAGACGAAAACAGCTGTAGAATGGGTACAAGCGTCATGTTTACTGCAGTCCCTCATAGAAACTGTTGCTGTCGGCATTACTGCAGCATTTTTCAACTTACGCTGTGTCTGTTTTAATATTTCTTATGCTCGAATAATCCATCCAATAACTATGACTATTAAGGTAGCTATAACTGAAACCGGAGTCAATTGCTAGTTAATCTATCGGTCAATGAGCGCGCTTCAAAAAAGGCTTTTAGCACATTCCAAGACCGGCTTCCTTTTAACCTCGGCACTGGTCAATAATTCACGCTTCCCTTGATGGGCAAACACGAGATTGTTATTATAGCATTTATTTGTTCACAATAGCCGACATTTCAAAATCCTCTCCGTTTGCCTCCGTACTTTATTAAATACTATAAACATTTTTGAACAATATAAATAAATAATATACATATCATAAAATATAATATTGCGAAAACTCAGCTATTGTGAGTAAATAGATGCTGTAATAACAACCTCTAGCGGAGAGGCTAGAGCGGCAGCGGTGATACCGTCAGAAATCAAAGGCGCTAGTTCGACCTCCTTCTTAACGCTCTCCTCCAATCCGTGTGGGTCCGGCTTAGCCTTGCTATCTCCAAAGGAGTGCAAAACGAATAAAATGCAAGAAGTGCTGGGACCTTTGTAGATGATGGTGGGTCAAGCAAAGCAAAGACAAAAAATAATAATCTCATCTTTGCATACCAAGAAAACAATGAATTATGGTTTCTGTATATTTACAGATGCAGAATCTAGCTTTTTCCGGTCGATGCCCGCCACAGCATGTGTTGAGTAAACCATCGATCAACTACATAAGGCCATGAAAAAGGGTTCTGTACCCCGAAGTAAATTATGAGAAAGCAAATTACTGTTCCCAGGATACACTTTCTAGTAACCTCAACATTGGAATATGAATACGTCGTCAGTTAGTTCGTAACCGCCTGTATGACCGTCCATGTGGAACAACAAATTGCGTAATTTGCCCTTACGGCAAGGACGGTGATTGCGTGAGTTCAGGTACGATATACCTGATCTCTTGTAGTAATTGCGGAGATGGATATATTGGCGAAACGGGCAGACCCTTGTGTGTCCGTATAAAGAACACCTAGATGGCAAACGAAAACTAAGGCAAAGTGCCCCACTAGGCACGCATAGGATACAAAAGCATAGCGGAGACGATTTTGAAGCAAAAGTCAATATCCTTGCAAAAGAGGCTAAAACACCAACGCGCAAACTTCTTGAGGCTTTTTGGATAAGTGCCAAAAGCCCTAAAATGAATAACAGGGATGAGTACTCAGAGGTCATACGCGACCTGACCCCGTATGTTCGCATCAATTTCTGATGTTCGGTGGTGCAATCATCAACCATATGCGACTACAATCAGCTGTTCTAATATTCCTCATTGGAAGTCACGTAAAAGGCGGTGAGTGTTTCAAGAAGCTGTTGATCATGCAATTACCATAGAGTTTTTCGTCTTTTTGTAAGTGGTATTAAAGCGTTTGGCCTAGTAGATTGTATATCAGCATACCCTTCCAATCTCTGAAGAAGGCGATACTGCCGAAACGTCAGCTAGCGTTGTATTGTATTGTGTTTTCCTATGGAAGTAAATGTATACTGTTTAACAACCTCGCGATTGCTGAACAAGAAAACAAAACAAATTACCCTTACATAGCTCACATCGGCCATTCGGCGCACCGCCACGATCGTGTAAAATGCGTACCGTCCGTTGTGTTAATAGGGAAGTCACCACAACGTGAAGGTGGCGTTTTCAACCCTGTTCTCGAAAGGTTCTCCTCGGCCGTACAACTCCAACACTATCATTTTTGTGAAATGCTTTATTTTAGCATAAATCCTGTAAGCTGACACGAAGAAACAAACAACAACAATATTCAAAAGACCGACTTTCTATAAACTTCGACATAGATAGATGATATATTTATTTGTATGATCTTATAAACTGATCCTCTTTAGATGATGCGAAGTTGGTATAGGTCTTCGTTGTCGTTGTCGTTGTTGCTGGTGCTGTTGGTCGATGGCTGAGTGGGACTCGTAGACATCACGGCTCTGAGGAAGGCGAAATCGCCGAAACGTCAGCCATCGACCAAAACACAATGACAACGACAACGAAGCCCTGTACCAACCTCGCATTAAATAGAATGACTATGAATACACGTAACTGAGGTAACGAGCTCTGGGAAAAGCTGCAATTGTGTATTTAAGAAAATCCGTAAACAATAACCGAATTAAAATTCGTTCAATATTAAAATTTGTAAAGACTTGAACTATGTTTCGCGAGAACCAAATGGATCCTGGATATGGCGGCACTGATTGAGGATTTGTAAAGTTTTATGATTCTAAATCACGGAAGGTGGTGACATGTTCAGAAGAGACAGATCACTTCCTAGTGAATTACTCCGACTTTGTGATGAATCGTAACTGCCAAATTGTAAGCGCTCGCTCGATCCATTAGTGTGCTAAAGAAACAAAAAGATAAGAATAGAAATATTCTACCTGTAGGTATTGTATACTTTTAACATCTCACGTATATATTTCGCTACTTGTTGGCTTGATGCATTAATAAAAGATGAAGGATAAAGCTCTCGGCGTTGATCAATCTCTGAGGGATGCGCCATGCATTCGACTTCATTAAGCACCGTTTTGAGGTGATTGAATGTATACCTTGCCTTTACTGTGACTCTCAGTGGCCTACCGATGTATCGAACCCGATCTGCTATCCTTCCAGACGAGTCTGGTACCAACTGGCCTACCCCGGAGGGATGGAAGGCTTGGTGGGCCGTAGGCACGGGGATCGATTCCATATGTGTGTTGCAGGGCGCCTCCGACCGCTGTGACACACGGGACCTACTTGCCGCAGCAGAAGGACAAATTTTATGCAGTAGAGAATAGTAGTGAGATTTCCTAACAATGAAAGAATAAAATGTAAGTTAAAAGGAACATCAGAAGAAAAAGAGATTAATGGGTTTCCATAGCATAGAAGCCGACTACGTCCTAATAGAGTTAGTAATACATACACTCTATCGCCTTACCTCAACGATATTCAATTGATGTGCGATCCTCTCGTCCGAGCGCGAACGATATCCAGACGATATTTCGCACATTAACGAATGGAGTGAATCATAATATTTCACGAAGAGTTGAAGACGAGTAAAATCGCCCATCATGCAGTCGCATCGTAACGATGTGATTCGCCAACCTTTGTGCGTTAATTCCACACAAAATGGCTGCTCTGAAAGTTTATTTAATCTTGAAACCCTAAGCTCTACTTTAAATTTTAGAACAAAGCCGGTCAGTTCCAATTATTAGCACCTACGAACAGTTGCGACACTTGACGCGCGCGACGCGCCGCGTTTTCTTCGCGACCGCGGTACTATTCTACTGTGCTTGCGAATACTTGATACTTGAATAGCCTGTGTTCACTGGTTGTGCGGTCCCCAGCATAATCTCCATTTTTCGGGGATTTGCTGGTTAAGCCATTGTGGTTCCCTGGAATCCCGAAGTCAGCTTGGCCAAAATCTGCCCTAGGTCTTCACCACCACAGGCAGTTGCAGTCCTTGTGGATCAAAAGGAAATTTGCCACCATGCTAAGAGTAAACCAATACCAGGACGGTGGTGGATCCCGATATTGGTTTACTCTTAGCTAGGCTTCCTGATGGAAACGCCGGACTCTTTCTCAGGTTGGGAGACCCTGCCAGGGGATGAATCCGCCGCTGTACATCGCAGTCCGACACCCAGAAACACCTTCCAGCCACGATGAGGCCGTAAACCGATGAGAGGACAGTGCTTGTGAATATAAGAAATAAATACATAGATAAATAACGAAACAAAATATGTAACCTTCTAGAGTGGTCAAATTGACGAAAATCAAATCTGGAGTCCGTGGCAACATCTCGGAAATACTGATTGACTGTACGCCAAAGGATAATTCGTGAACGGCAGCTAGAAGATAGTTCTTTTGTGTAAAATGATATTATTGCAAATTGACAATGTCATCAAGAAATAGGTATAAGACATCACAAAACAAAGTATGAAGTAAATTATTGACGTTTCGAACTTGGGTCTGAATGTGCTTCAACTTTCCGCCATCATGAGGATTTTTTGGACCTTGCCATAAAAGGGGCGCGTGTAGCGCAGCGGTTGGAGGCCCACTGCAACGTGCACGTGGAATCGATCCCCGTGCCCACAGCCCCCAAGTTCTCTCTATCTCTCCGGGGTCGGCAAATTGGTACTAGACTTGTCTGGTAGGATAGCAGCACTGGCTCGATACATCGTTAGCCCATCGCTAGTCGTTGTAAAGGCCAGATATACATTCAATCACCTCCAACGATACTTAATGAAGTCGAATGCATGGCGCATCTCTCAGGGATTGATCAACGCCGAGAGCTTCATTTCTTATCCTTTTATCATAATTTCCACTTCATTGGTATTTTCTTTCTTGAGCAAGATCTTCCTCGCTGATTACAATGAAAGTCGTCCCAACAGCATTGTCATGTCGCCGTCAAAGATGGAAACACTAGCTCTTCTTTATCGCAGAAACGTTCAGTATCCAACGTCTAGGTTTCTTTTACAACGGCATTGATTTCCGCCAACGATTAACTCCTAGTTTAATTACCCAAGTTTGAGTAAAAAACCGCCGCCGGAATCACACCTCCCTCTGATCTACATCGTGGTGGAGACCTGGATACACCCTTGCAAGGTTACGTCAGTACTCCAGGGAGGACCAAGTTGCACGACCAGCAATAGGCCAGCCTCAGTACCCCACACACTCTGTGCTCCCGTCTATGACATCAGGCGGTGGGACGACCGGTGAGAGGCCAGGAAGTTTCGGGTTACGCAGGACGTCACTGAAACCGGATTTGACGAACGCACGCACGCAACGCCACGGAGGTTGTTTCTTACTATGCACATATAACGCCAGAACACTCTCCACAGAGGCCGATCTTCACGCCCTTCTTGTAGCCGCAGATCGCATGAAAGTTCATGTGATCACATCACAAGAAACAAAAATCAAAAAGATCGAAGTACGCCAACTAAACAACGCGACTCTTGTGATCCGTGGAGAAAAGGTCCCGTTACGAAATGTCGGTGGCGTAGACTTTGTCGCCCACTCGTCAATTGTTCATTTCGTCGACTCATACGTGATCCTTTCTCCTCGCATAGCTGCCCTCCGTCTTCAACTGTTGCATCACAAGAAGATCATTATAATCAACTGCTACTCACCGACCGACAAAGCTGATGAGCACGAATTAAATGCATTCTACTATCTGTTGGTGGAAGTCATCCGCAGTAATAAAGCATATCATAAATTTGTTGTTGGAGACTTTAACGCCAGAATAGGAAAGGCCAACGAAAGCGAATACAGGATCGAAAATTTTGGATTAGGAGAAAGAAATGAGAATGGGAACCGTCTCGCAAGACTCCTGCCGTCTCCATGGGAACTCGTTCTTCTTCCAGAAGAAAGAAAGCCGCCGCTGGACATGGGAGTCTCCCAACGGCATGACTCATGCGAAGATCGACCATATCCTGACAAACAGAAGATGGTGCCTACTTGACACATCGATAGTCCCGTCATTCTGTACTGGTTCCGATCACCGCCTTCTTCGCGCAAAGATTCGATTCATCGACAAGCTGGAAAAGAATTCTCTTCATCGACCACGAGGAAAATAATCTAGCTGTATACGACGAGAACATTCTGAACGAAGTTTGTCCAAACGTGACTGGCAGATTAAAGAAGACCCGACCGACGACTACGAGCTGCTTGTCGAAGGACTGAAAAGCTGTGCCGAATTCGCCTCAGTTCCTCAAACAAGAATATCGGATCGCATCTCCATCACTACTAAGAAGTTGCTCGAAAAGAGAAGGAAATTGAAGCTTGATCCTATTGCAACACGTTCAACATGGCTAGTAATAAATGCCAGCTACAGAAGAGCTTTGCAGAAAGATCTACAACGGTACAAGCAGAAGAAAGTACTGGAAGCAGCAGAGAAAAGAAACAGTCTGAAAAAATGCCGTCGGAAATTGCGTGATTATAACGTTCCGCTGTCAGCCCTGATGAACGAAGATGGGATCGTCAAAACTTCCCGCCATGATATGGAATTAATAGCGGAAACGTTCTATACCAACCTTTTCCGTTCCAAAATCCCCGTCCCGGGTCCTGATATCCCCGCTGTAAAAAAACCACCTGGAAATCTTCTGTCAAAGGTTCGAGTTGCGATAGAAAGCATGAAAAGAGGCACAGCTAGCTCCAGGAACCGGTAATATCAATGCCGATTTCCTTAGGACTGGAGGCCACAACTTACATGTACTTCTCGCAAAACATACGACAGGCTACCTTCAAAAGGAAAAAATCCCAGACCAGTAGAGGACGTCGAACACGGCCATCCTTTCCAAGAAAGGAAACCGAAGGGATCTTCGTAACTATCGTCCCATATACTTGTTATGTGTACTCTACAAGCTCTTCACGAAGATTATCCTCTCGCACATATTAAGGACATTGGATGAAGCGCAACCAGTCGAGCAAGTAGGATTTTGAACAGGATCTTGCTGCATGGCCCACATCCAAACTGTGTCCAGGGTCATCGAAGTTTGTCGGGAATACCACTTGCTTCTAGTCCTAACCTTTGTCGACTATGAGAAAGCGTTTGATAGCGTCGAAACGAATTCAATTCTATCAGCGCTCGTTGACCAAGGAGTGGACCCGTCCTAAATAAGAACTCTGTCCGACTGTTTTCAGGACTGCACTACGAAAATACAGCTTTTCTATCGATCTCTTACAATGCCCATAAAAAGGAGTTCGACAGGGCGACACAATATCGCCAAAGTTGTTCAGTGCCGCACTGCAGCGGATATTGAAGTAACTCCATTGGAATTAGAAAGGCATGTGTATTGATGGAAAATTCCTATCAAACCTTCGTTTTGCCGACGACACTGCCACCTTCTCAAGAAGCACTAGCGAAGCAGAGGTGGTGATCAACGAACTCAACGAAGCGGTGAAAAAGATCGGACTACGCATAAATCGAAAGAAGACCCAGTTCATGAAAAACCCATAGTGCGAAGGCGAAAAAATTGAATTGGATGGCTCTCTCGTTGCAGAGACCACCTTGTACGTTTACCTTAAGCGATCAATGAACATTGAAAACAACATGAAAGAGGAACTAGATAAAAGAAGGAGAGCAGCTTGGGTCGCACTCATGCCTCTCAAAGAAGCCACCGATCAACTGAAGGACCCGAAAATCCGCGCTTACCTTTTCGATTCAACGGTCCTTCCAGTGCTCTATTATGCTGTAGACATGGACTGACACTTCAACTACGTCAGGAATGCTCCGCACTACTCACAGAGCGCTTGAGCGATGTCTTCTGAAATATAACCGGCGCTCTCAATATCTAGCCGGAATGCGAAGCTCTGACCTTCGAAATCTGTCAGATCTTCGAGATCCAGGAGAACATACATCGACAGCTAAACATAGATGGGCAGGTCACATAATGAGAAGAACGGACGACAGATGGACGAAAAGAACAGTAGAGTGGACTCCAATAGAATGCAAACGTCCCCTAGGACGACCACCGTTGGGTGGACGCTTTCGTAAACAAAGTTAATCAGCTGTACCCGCAGCTGCAGTTGTTTTACAGATCACAGTATGAGAATCGCAAGCGCTACCATGCTCGAACAAGACCACCACCATGGACTACGATTGCGAGAGAAAGGAGCGAATGGCATATGTGTGCTGGGGTTCGCACAGCTCCTGTAGGACTGTCCAACTATCCAAGTAAGATGAATTCCTAACTGGGTTTCTGGATGGAAACACCGAACTCCTGCTTAACACCGATGACGTTGTTGGATATGAACTCACTGCATATCACAAATCAATTTCGAGAAAACCCTCCGGCCATGATGAGGCCGTAAAGCACCGACAGGCTTCAGGCTTTACTAGAAACAAACCAAATTAAATTAATTCAACTAAATTTAACACAGTTAATGATTTGAACTAAATTAAAATTAAGTCCCAAACGAACAAATTTGGAGTCACGGCTATAGCAAAGGTATGGTCAAAACCAAGAACTAGTTAGATGTTAGAACTAATGTTGAATAAGATTTAAGCAATTCGAATATGTCAAGAGTCCTCACCAATTGCTTCTAGTTCCAACAGCGATTCACCACGACTTCCCGGATCCATTGAAGCGAATGAGCGATTGAGCGAGGAGATTTTTCGTAAAGTAGGGGACATAGAACTGAAGTCGAAAGCATTTTTTCAACGTTATATTTCCAATATAAAGACTCCATTTGAGGACATTGAATAACATAACAATGAAAACTCTGCTGACTGGGTTGTTCAACGTACGACAGCCAGCTGAACCACATAGCTCAGTGACCCATACGGACGGGAGGGAGGGATCTCAGGACATCAAAAATCGCTTGAACACGTGGCTCAATAAACTGAGCTCAATGATGAGGATTTCCCTCGAATTTCTCACGAATTGAAATAATGATTGGCATGAAGGATTCGCTCACCAGAAGACGGGAAAATTTATCAACAATGTCAGACAGTTATGACTTAACGCCTCACTAACATCATTAAATACTAGTCACATCACTTTTTAAGAGTCACATCAGTTTATAAAAGATGAGCGGTCGAAGTTCAAGAAAAAATATAATTGTCCCATATTCCTGTGTAGAACGAAACATTAAAGTGTGCTTCTCTTTAGTCTCTTAAACGCCAATGCCTACAGCAATGAGCTTACGATTACTACTTTAAAAAATCCAATACGTTCCCAATCCTTTATAACAAAAGAAGTGGTTCAAGGCTAAAAGTGCATTACAAGTGCGGCTACCTTGAAAGTTATCTAAGCTACAACGAAAACCCAACAACGCATCAATAAAGAGTCATCATTTATCCCATTAAAACAAAACACTTCTCTTCTCTATCCCTCATAAACTCTTTTAGCATTGTGGAACATAAACACAAATATTGAACTGACTGTGACATAGTGTGATATCTTTCTTCCCCTTTCTGTAGTACAAAATATATCTAGCTATTGTTGTCCCACAAGCAAGTACATTTCGATATGAAAAGAAAAGCCGACTCATATGTTTTTTACGAATCTAAGTCAAATAAGTGGAAAAATAGTAAATCAAAAAACTTTGCTCGTTTTCACTCAGTGCATAAAAATTTTTCCACGCCATATCCACCATGTTAACCGGACTACTTCATCGGCCAAGAGGATGTTTCCACTTGTTGCACTGTGAGGGACAAGCCCACTCTCAGCTGAGCACCTAAACTAAGTTCGACATTGCATTGAACCCAGTTAAGCTGAGCCTATAGTTATAATCACAATTTTAACCTTTTTATTCACTGCCTATTCTTTTTAACAAAAATGACAAAAGATCGATAGAACTAGCTGAGAGACAGGCGAAACGAAGAACCCGCATGGTGTGGTGGTGAGCGCGTTACTCCCCGGAAAGGACAATGGCGCGTTCCTTCTCCACCGCTTACACCTGCGGTCTGGGGTTTTGCAAATATCTCAGCATCATTGAAGTTATATTTCTTCGACGTGATTCATGAGGGCGATTTACTCAAGTGCACAAATATTTAGTTATATTATAAAAAATTCAAGTGACGAAACCTAAAAAAGAAACAACGTTTTCAACGATGTCCTCTGGAAAAGATTCTATCCCTTCAAAGTGTTGGAAGTCTTGACGAGGGATACGGAGAAAAAGCATATTGTTTTTAACAATTTCGTAAGTGTTCCTAATCTCAACGTTTTCATGAAAAAAGAACACCCAATATGGATTAAAAAATGCGACAGTAATTGGAATATTTTATTTTGATAAAATCCTTAGCTACCACATAAGGCATAGTGAAGCAATGTCAATAAAAATAGCAGTGATATTTCCTCAGGTAATTCCTTTGACTGTTTAGCAATGGTAATTCCTTAGGTGAACCCCTTTGACTATATTTCCAAAAATATTTCCGAGCTTAAGGGAAGGGGTAACGTAATGGTATTGATCCCATCCGCTATGCGGACGCCCCATCCCACATGGGCCCAGGTTCGGCGCTGTCCAGAGCAACCTAAGCCTCTCACCTTCCAAGATGAAGAAATAGGCACCAGCATAGTCCGAGAGAAGCTGAATGTCAGCAGCCCACCTGGGAATGCCCCAGCACAATTATCTCAGGATTCCAAAGAGCTCCAGGGAGCACTGACCTGAATAGCATTCAACAACGTTCATAAAATAAATGACGAAGCTCTCAGTGTTGATCTATCCTTGATGGATGAGCCGTGAATTCGATTTCATCAAGCATCGTTTGAAGTGATTGAATGCACAAATGGCCTTAACAATGACTTATGCTGACCAGCCGATGTTTCGTGTCAGTGTTGCTATCCTATCAGACAAGTCTGGCACCAATTTGCCGACACCAGAGGAATGGATGGGTTAGAGCGCGCGAATCGATCCCATGTGTAGTGCACGGTGCCTCCAACCACTGCGCTATATGCGCCCACAACGGCATTCATAACGATAGGGAAACTCTCAGGTAGCAGCCGAATCCACACGCAAAAGTTCGGAGACTTTCGTGGGTGATGGATGCAAGGAAAGCGAATCAAATGTAAGAAGTGCTGAGACCCGAACAGATATAAGCGCCGTCAGGTCATGTAATAAAATAAAATAGAAATGAATTTCTGCTTTTCAACATTCAGATTATTTTCTCCCTTTTATTCCACTGTTTTCCAGGCTTAGCCTTATTGGCATAATGTGATTACAGGAAGCTTCCCAGATTCTCCCAGGGGCAAATGTAGTTCCGCTGGTGGTAACTATTCAAACCAGTCAACTGACTGCTAGAAGACGATGTTAGAAGCCTATCGCAAAAAATTTTGTTCGGAAACTTTGATTAGTATTTATGAATTATCACTGTTAGTATTATTACGGTTTTCATTGGATTTTCACTTGCCAATGTAATCATGTTCTACTTATCATACTCAAAGACCTATAAATTCTGGCAGTAAAAATTGAGCAGAACATCAAATACGAAAAATAGATGGGTTGATGATGAGAAGATTTAATAGCAGTTAGAGTAAGAGGCAGAGGAGCGAACCCGAAAGGGATACAATGTTCTCTAGAGGGAGCGCCTTGTACAAGGTGGGCGTTGTTTGTGGCTCAAGTGAGACAGCTGTCATGCGGAAACGATTTACTTTTTCGGATATGATAATCACTGACGTCACCGTTCTTAGAATCGCTACCATCAACGATGATGGAAAGAAGCGCTGGAATCTGCCATTCAGGTGAGGTGCCTAAGTATCCATACAATCTCTAAAAGCTACTTGGCGGCAATATCGGATTATTATATGACTGTCGACTTATTAAGATGTATGAAAAAAAATAAGGATAGGGAAGAATATCTAACCTAATGCAAGCTTTAATGTGTTTCAGCATCTCTCAACTGTTTACCGCCTCATCGTGGCTGGGAGGTGTTCCTGGGTGTCGGACTGCGATGTACAGCGGGGGATTCATGCGCTGGCAGAGTCTCCCAAGCTGAGAAGGAGTCCGGCGTTTCCATCAGGAAGCCTAGCTAAGGGTAAACCAATACCATCATCTACCACCGTCTTGGTATCAAAGTCGAATGGTGATAAATCTTCCTCTGATCCACAAGGGCTGCGACTGCCGGTGGTGGTGAAGACCTGGGGCAGTTTTTGGCTAAGCTAACCTCGGGATTCCAGCGAACCACAATAGATTAAAGAGCAAATTTCCGAAAAGTGGTGATTATGCTAGGGCCCGCACAACCAGTAAGGACGGGCCATTCAAATATCAAGTAAGTAATGTGTTTCAATAAAATTATTTCACTGGTAATGGGATCAGAGACGACAAAGACGGTTGTTAGTGCGTAATGGTAGTTACCTAAGCGGTGAATCGACGATATTGCAACGGACGCTAGAAATCGGTTCAATTTTGTGCGTTGTGTCGTCAGCGATAGGTACCGATGATGATGATTTACGTATTTCGGTTGTCATGAATGATATCTGAAATTGAAACAGAAAATGATATCTGCAAAATCAAGACGAAAATGAATAAATTGATAGCAAAGTCACTACAAGACGAACTGGAATTGGTGACTGTACAACACGTCCTTATATAGCCGTAAACGATGGGCGGAGCACATTTAGATCACAAAAATATACCCCGATGACGTCATGGTCATAATAAAATTCGTACAAAGACGAGAGTAGTTGGAAAGAACGAAAACACACAACTAAGTGAGAAATATTGGAAGTGACAAGCTAAAATGGCCACGCAAGAGTTCATCAACGTGGGAGAGTCGGCGCCCATGACGTCGAGCTCAGGCGTAATCGGGAGAGATTCTTCTATTCTTCTATCATCTCTCTGCCTTATCAGTAACTGTTATCACCTCCGAAGTATGCAGAAGTACATTACCTGATACGGCAACTTGCTTTTTTTCAGTTGCTAATGATAACGACTGGAATCTGGTGTGGAGTTTTATGGAGATGACTAGTTTAAAAAAGCATGTTTTTAATTGATTAAACGATTTTTGCATACCTATCGGATATTTATTGAGTCGGAATTATCACTAATACTTACCAATATCTAATAAACATTAAACAACATGAATTCAAGGGCGGATATTCCTAATTATCAAGAGAACGTAGTTATCAAGGGCGCGTGTGGTGCAGTGGTCGGAGGCACCCTGCAACAGACACGTGGAATCGATCCCCTCATCCATGGCCCGCCAAGCCCTCCATCCTCCCGGGGTCGGCAATTTGGTACCAAACTTGTCTGCGAAGATAGCAGCACTGGCTCGATACATCGATAGGCCAACGCGAATCATTGTAAAGGGCGGATGTTCATCCAATCACCTTCAAACGATGCTTAATGATAGAATGCATAGCGCATCTCTCAGGGATTGATCAACGCTAAGAGCTTTACCTTTTTTTTTTAGCTATCAAGAATCTAACTGGTTGGATAGATTAACTTCTACCCAAATGCTTAGAATATTTATTGGCAGGAAATTTTTAATACAATGACCATCCATCCTTTAGTTTATGAAATCACAACAACTTGCTAGTTTTCCACTGGAGTAGAGTTTTTTACTCACCAGAAAACACTTTTATTTAGTTTGTTCGTTCTTTTTTCGTTCTTTCTTCATCTCGTCCTTATCTTCTACCTCCAAACTTTATTGCCCTCTTTTATTGTTCAACATCTATATTTTTTCGGTCCATT